ACCAAAAGGGAATGTCCGAATGGAAAATGCTCAGGCCTCCCAGAGGCTGACCTGGTCTGAAGGCCTGCAGGACCAGACTGGCTGGGGTCCAAAGACCCCACCAGGCGTCCTGCCAAAGTATCCCTCTCCCTGCAGCCATGGAGCCACTGGCTGGAGCAATGGGGGAATGACACGTTGACCCCCAGGCCCCTCTGGGAAATCTCCAGCAGGGCGGGACTCCTCCCCCTCCCCAATTGAGCAGGGCTCCCTCAAAGGACACCCAAGGAAGCCAACAGTGAACAGATTCCACCAGTCTCACCCTGGCTGACTGAGATGCTTCTTAGACTCTCCCAGCATAAAGTCTTGAAGTGCGATACTCTGAGATCAACAAGATCCCTCTCCCTCTGCCTCTCTTATACGACAATGGATCCACGATCCTGACTATTAATGACTCCATCCAAGATTAGGTTGCATTCAGATTAAAAATGCGGGCATAATTGGTCTTCTCCAAAATGTCTGCACTGGACACCACTTCCTCAAGCACTGTGTACAAAAAGGAGCATTTACGACCCTCTGGATCCACTGAGTGCTTTCCCCCTCTGCAAGTGACAGGGCCATTTTATCACGTAAGGACCCACCAGTCACTCCTGGGGTCCTCCTGGCCAACCTCCAGATGGGCAGGGGTCAGCAGATCCCCCGCAAGGGTTCCAGAAGCCAAAAGCTGTTCTGTTCATTGGAACAGGGCCTCAGCACGGCCCCCATGGGAAGAAACATTCACGCCAGGAAAAGGCTACATGATTTTTATCCTCAAAATGCTTCAGAAATCCTTCACGTAGATTCTTCAGGGCGCCGAGGGGTCTACAATAAGCTCCTGATGAGCCGGAAGTGTCATGCAAAGCGTGTGACTGGAAATGCAAGGACGGGAGGCCACCAGGAAAGCTTCCCTGGCTGCCTCTGCGGCCACATCGTCAAACTCCATACGCAGACTGATAGGAGCCTGCCATGGTCCGCCTCGCCCTGCTCTCCCCACAAGCTTTTACAACACTGAGCAGAACTGCACCTTTAAAGAAAAAAGGAGGCAGAAATTGGTAACAGCAAAAAGGCAAAATTTGGCAAAGCTTAGCAGAACCAATATAGCTGAACAGAGAAAAACAGCAGGATTTGGTCCTAGCTAATGCAACCATTTTGGCGAAGTAAAAAAATCAAAGCTTTGCCCAGGAAGCTTGACCACCTCCAGCTATTCACTTCTATGCAAAGGACTCCTTTGGCCCAGTTCTGAGAGAAAGCTCCAAGTAGAGTCAGGCTCCGGACAGTGGTAACAGGCCCAGAGTCTCTCGGGGAGGCCCTCCTTGCAGGGGGTCTGGAGTGGCCACGGCTGCAGGAGACGCGTGACCCGAGTCACAGGACGCCCCACCCAAGGCCTATGGCTACCGCATTAGTGACCCTCCCCCGACCGCAACTGCAGATGTTACTCGGCCAACATTCAGATCTACCAGCCAACTTTGAATGATGCAATTTTGGGCCATGCTCACCTTATCAAAAAAGGTCTGGATAGAATCGGCCCCTGCCTATATTTGGTGACATCACGGCCCTGGGTGGCCTCCAAGGAACGAGGAGCCCAGTTGCAGCCCTTCCCCACCATCTATACTAGGTAAACCCGGGGAATAATTGGGTGCAACTAGGAAGGTGCATTTCTAAGTGAGATGGGTGGCATACAAATCTAATAAATAAAATAAATAATAAAGTTCCCTGAACCTCTCTGGCGTTTTGTCCTTCAGTCCAAAGGACAATCTGCCTTTGATGCCAAGAAAAGAGGTGGCAGGCATTTCACGGCCGCCTCATGCAGGAAAAGCAGGAGCCTCAGCCCAAACTGGCTTCATCAGCAATAACAGCCTCTCCGGTAAAATCGGCTGACTTTGGAAGGCTGGTTTTTCTTCCTTTTAGATCTTTCCATTTTCTGTCTCTTGCTGCATGTTGTTCAGAGACTTTTTACACTGAGCAGCATATAAATTGCAGAGAGAAATATTACGGAAGACTCTCCCTCAAAAAGCTAGATTAGCTTTGACATTATTATCTTTCTGGAAGCTTTTAAAATTATTATTTTTTTGAGAGAATATTTTTTTTTTTTTGAGAGAGAGAATATTGTTTATGCATTGATATTCCCAAGTTATTTTCATTTTTGCAATTGACAAGAGTTATCATTATGCATCACTGAGAATTGTTTGACTGCAGCAGTTTACAAAATTAATACATGAATGACCCATCTCCGCGCGCCTAACTCAAGAGAGGTCAAGATGAAGGAATCCCCCATCCATATAGAGTCCATTACAGGCACTGCAGCATATATAAATAACTCCTCTGCGCCTCCGTGAAAAATGAATTAGCTTCCATTTCACTTACAGGCTTTTTTTTGAGAAATTTTTATTTTCAGAATTCTGACCTTGCAGGGTGGGGAGGGATTTAATAGGCCAACTGTACATAGAACTGAATAACTTTGCACCATGGTACCCAAGAAGTCATCACATCTCTCAGGAAACCTTCAGGGCTAAAATCTTTCTGGATTCAGTTAAGTCTTCCTCTCTGAACAACCGGCTACTCCAAGGGATTGCTATGACTTTATGTGTTCCCTTTCCCTTAGCATAATGACATTATCCATCTCAGGTGATCCAAAACAGGATGAGGAAGGAAGCACCACACATAATTTAATCGAACCAGGATATCAATAGACCAAATACAGAAAATATTTAAGAAAAAGCATTGGTTGTACAGAAAAGACTTCTGGGGAGAGGCTGGCAGCTGACTGGACAGAAAGCCTCCTCTATTCCTTGGCCAGATCCAGCCCGCCATCAGAGCCACCAGGGAGCAGAGGAGAGAGACGGGCTGCTGAAAGGCCACACCCCTTGAGCGCGTCTTAAGAGAGGCAGACCCCCGGGAGGAGTGGTAAACTACTTTAGCCCAGGCATCTCTCAGGTCTGTAGACCCGAGATACTTTGCTTGGTTCCCAGAGGAAGAAGGAATGTCAGACTGAAAATAGCTCTGCAAAGGGAAAGCAACGAGCATGAAGGGATGAAGAGCCAGCGAGTAGACCAGCTCTTCGGAACCTCTCTGGACAACAAGGCAACGACAACCCATGTGTGTGGGATGAGATCACTCACAAATGCTACTGACAGCTGCTCCTTGTGAAGAGACTGCAAGATGATGGGTCTCCAGCAGGTTTGCAGCTCTAAGGAAGAAACAGCCTTCTTGCTCAATCCACAGATGGCACTGTCAAAGAGTTCATATATTTCCTTTTATAATCACTTCTAGAAAAAATGGTTACTTGCTTTTCAGACATTAGAAGCCTTTGGATAGGCAAGTTGGCTAAGCTTCCTTCAATTCCGACTGAAAGTAAGTTTTAGCTACAAGTTTAAATACTTAAAAAAAAATGGCGTAAACAGCAAAAGGGTGATTAAAACTTTTGATTTTAAAAAGTTACAGACTAAGGGTCCAAATAAATTTGAAATATTGGCGGGGCAGATAGTAACCCTAACCCTAAGCCCTTAAGGTGGCCTAGGTTACACTGTTGTTTCGCAAAGCTGTGTTGGTTGTAGGTTTGCTTCAAGGTGCAATTCAAGGTGTGGGTTACCGCCTTTAAAGCCCTGTGCTGGCAGAGGGGGTGTGCTGCAGACTCCGTTGGTCAAGGATTTTCAGTTGGCGGGGTGCAGGAAAAAAGGGGTTTTTTTCTGCCATGGTTCCTGCCCTTTGCAGCATCGTCTCCTCCACCACCCCCACCAGGGGTACTTGAGGCTCTTATTGAAGGTCAGCAGGGTGGGCGCAGCTCTCATCTCAGGCCTACAATGTTCCAGAGGGGAGATCTGCACCCACCCAGCTGATCTTCTGTAAGGGTCTGAAGAACTGGTTCTGCCAGTTGGTCTGGGGCCCAACGCGGGTGCACCATTCTGGAGGCAGCTATTGGATTAAGAAAAGTATCCCCACCTCTCCACGTGCATTTTATGTTCCCCTCCTCCACATCTTTTAACTGTACTTACTTTATGATTGTTATTTGTTGTTTTATCATTTTAATGTCTACCATTTTTAATGCTTGTAGGCCGCCCAGAGTTACCTCTAGATGAGATGAGCGGCATATACAGAAATACATACATAAAAGTGTTTGAAATTATAAAGAATCCTTCCTGTGGGAAAATGTTTTTGTTTTGAGCTTTAAAAAATGAGATTTTAAAAAATGGGCACTAAAGGGAAGCAGAGGGAAGTAAATATTACAATTAAAGGAGAACACATAAATTCCACTTACAGGTGAAGTAAACCCTTCTAACATTGGATATATCAAAGGACATTTTTTGAACAGCAGTGGGCTCGGGAGTTAATTTTAATAGTGTCATCTGCACAGAGATTGTTTCTAAAAGATGTTCTGGAAGAGAAACAAGTTTTACCTAACAAGACTGAGCTGAAGATGGATTGACAAATGACAATCTACGAGAATGAGAGGGAAAAAGATTTTACAAAGAAACTGTTTTTGGAAGCTCTTTGGGCATCCTCAGCTGACCTGGGGAGGGTGTAGGAGCCACAACCAGTCATTCAACTCCCCTCGAAGGGTGTTCTCATTAACAACTTTCTCAAAATTGGTGCTCAAAAGCTTTTATACATTAATCCCTTCAATTCCTGCTGAGGAAAAAAGATTTGTCACCCAAGATTTTACTAGCTAACAATTCATCAATCCTCCCAAGGGCCCTTCTGCTGCCCCCTCCAGTGTCCCCAAACTCCAGGCCCACCTAGTGGCCGGTTCGCCCTCCAGCCTGGCTGTCCCCCAACGGGAAACTGGAGCCCACCAGGCATTAGGACCCTGAAGGCGTTAAAGAGTGGGCATCTGCGCACTGGCAAATGCCACCATTTCACGACTTCGGCAGCAGGTGAGCCCCCTTCTCCAGGGAAGAGAGCAGGGCAACTGCAGCAGCACAAAGGGGGCCCTGGCGCAGGGGGGCTGGCGATCACCCTGCGCCCATTTTTCTGCCTTGTTTTTTCAGCAACAGCTGGAGCGACTGAGGGGCAGACCAAGACAGCTGAGGATGTGCTTCACTGAAGGGTAACCATAGCAACGCCGAGAGCGCTGAGGAGGATGCTGGCTGGTAACCAGGTGAGTTGCTTTTGGTGCAGGGTGGTCCCGTCCAGTTCAGTCAGCCAGCCCAGCTCCTTCCCTGGGAGGGGGAGGAGGAGATCTGCGGCTTCCTCAGTTTTTCCTTCATTTCACCTTCACTAGAGACAGCCCCAGAAACCCCCAAACCTGCTCCCCTGGATCTGATCCCTTCCCTTCTTCCAGCCCTGCCATCACTTGTTCTCCACCTACCCTGCATTTCCCTCACTCCGTGGTTTTTAACCAAAGAGTAAAACAGCTGGATTGAAAGCGTCCAAAGGAAATAGCCTCTCCGTTCCATTCAGCTCAGCTCCAGCTGCCTCGGACTAGATTCCCCCCCCCCCCAACCCTGAATCACTATGGCAGGGGTGTCAAACTCGGTTTCATTGAGGACTGCATCACGGCTGCGTTGGATGTCAGGGGGGTGGGGGGTGGCCAGGGTGGGCGTGTTGGGGGTGCCTGTGGTGGCTCAAGTGCTCTGCTAGCAAAAATGGGCTCCTGAGCTCCGTTTTCGGCTGTGATGGCCTCCTGCAACCCTCTGCCACAAAAACGGAGCTCGGGAGGGCCACAGAGGCACCCAGGCTGATCCTTCGCTGTTTCCAGGGTGGCCCCACGAGCCAGATCCGTGAGTTTGACACCCGTGCACTATGGCTACTTGAGAGGCTGGGAAGCCACCAAGCCTACCTGCGGGGGAGGGAGCAAGATTGGGGAAGGCCACTGGGCCAATGGCAGCATGATGGCCTGGGCCAATTCAGGAGCTGTTGCTCCCCAGGAGCACCTTGTCTAGCTGAGACTTTCTGGATAAGAGTTACTCCCCTTTTGACCAGATATGCTGAAAAAAAAAAAGCTGCACCAGGGCATCAAAAGATGCTTTCCCTGCTGCTTCCAGCTATAAAGAAAGATCTCCTCTGGACCAGGAGGGCCCCATCCTCAGAGAGTTCTCCCTCTGAAAGCCACGGGCCGGAAGGGGTGCCACAGAGTCCTCTCTCCTTCTCTTGGCCTAAATACACTGCCCATCAATGCCTACAGCACAGTTCAGGACTAGTCGTGTATCCACAGCCACGGAGGCTTATTCAGCCAACCATGACTAAACAAGTCATACCTTAACATAACCAAAGCTAAGAGAGATGCTATGGTAACACTGTCTTCAAATCCCACTTGAAATTTAACTTTTTGTTTTTATTTATATCCAAAAGAGATTGTTCTAGGTGGAACATTGGGGTTTCTGGTGTATTAAATGTCAGGATGCAACCACTGCAATCACCAACCAGAGTAGGGGGAGGGAGGGATGGTGGCACAGAAGCCCATTTGTCTTTCCCAAGGAATCAGCACAGTAGCTGCAGTGGCAAACAAACCCAACACACCGCCCTCCTCCTAGTTTCCTCACAGCCACAACCCTATGAGGTGGTGATTGGAGGGGAGGTGGGGGGAAGAGAGACTGACCCAAAATCACTTAGTTGGCTTTCATGGCTAAAGTAGAACTTGAACTCACAGTCTCCTGTTTTCTAACCTGGTGCCTTAACCACTAGACCAGGGGTGTCGATTTCATTGAGGGACGCATCAGTTGTGTTAGACCGGGGGGGGGGGGGGGGGGGGGGGGGGGGGGGTGGGGGGTGTATGGCCAGGGTGGGCATGGCCAGCTCAACATCACTCCTGTGGGGGGTGGGGGCACCTGTGGTGGCCAAGTGCTAAGGCAGGACTTCCCTCAGACCCTCCCTCACTCTCATAATTTCCTTCGTTCCTTCTCTTTTTTATTCCCTCTTCATTCTTTCTTCTTCCTTCTCCTTTTTCCTTCTTTGCTCTCTTCCCATCTTTCCTTCTTTTTCTTTGTCTTTCCACTTCCCCTTTCTCCTTTCCTGTCCCTTCTTGCATGTTCAAATGCAAAAGGGGAAACATTTCTCCTGTTTTGTTTTTAGTTTGTTTTGCTAGCCCTCTGCCAGTGAAAATGGAGCTCATACACCCACCCACCCCGACCCCATTTTCAGCCATGACAACCTCCTGCAGCCTTCTGCCAGTGGAGCTCAGGGGGCGCATGCTCTGTTTTTGCTGGCAGAGGCACTGCAGGCCAGTCCTTTGCTGTTTCCAGGGCGGCTCCCGTGGGCCAGATCTAAGCACCCCTTTGAGTTTGACCCCACTGCACTAGACCAAACTACTCTTAGCAGTAGTTAAGGGTTAGTAGTCCTAACCCTTCCTGAGTCAAATTCTGGAGACCATTCCCAGCACTCAGGCTCACTATGGCAGATTGGGGGAAAACCCCTAAGAAATCAACAGGGAAAATTTTAATAAAGATGATCCAGTTGTTTTGTCCTGGCGCCAACTTTAATCTCCTCCTGTTTCACCCGCCACCTGCCCCCCAACAGCTCTGACTGAAACCTCAGAACCGGGCCCGTTTCCCCAGACGCTGCGCCACTGCCGGCCCCCCACAGCCCCTCTCGCCCTTCAAGGAAGCGAAAGGCGCAGATCGGTCTCGGGGCCGGTGACCGAGAGGCCGCGGGTCAAACAGGGCAGAGACAGAGGGGAGGGGAGGCCAAAGCCCCGGGGACCCCTGCCCTTAAGGGGAAGAGCGGAGGGGTCGCCCCATCGCAGGAGAGGGCGGGGGGAGTGGAGTGAGCCCCCAGGGCCCTCCAGCTCCTCCTTCCAAGGGCCCCTCCCACGCCGAGCATCTCCTAAGGCGAGTGACGGAACTCTGAGCCCAAGGCGCCTCCACGGCTCTCCCTCCGCTTCGGCCCCCCCCACGCGCTCAACGACAGCCCTGCGAGGTAGGCCGACCAGGGAGAGCGAGCGAGGGAGCTCCGGGAGGGAAAGCGCCCCCACCGCCGCCTCCTCTCCGCTCACGGCTTCCCTCTCCCACGCAGGGGCCGCTCCCGCAGCAGCCGGACGGATCCCGCCGCCAGGACTCCGCGCGTGGCCCGCCCCGCCGGCAGGCAGGACCGGTGGCGGCCGCCCTCTAGCCCAGCCCCGTCGCCGTGGAGAGGGAGACGCCGGGCCTGCCGGGCTCCGGAAAGGAAGGGCAGCCGTCGCAGACCAGCCGGGCGCTCCTCCCTTCGCTTCTCGGGACGGGACGAGCGGAGCGGAGCGGAGCCGCCGCCGTTCCTCCGGGCCTGCTTGGGCTTCGCCCCGCTCCGGCTCTCGCCCGCCTCCCTCCGCCCAGGGGACGGGGACGGGGACGGGTCGGGCCGCTGAGTTCCGCCGAACCTCCGGCCGCGCAGCCTTGCAAGGTAGGCCGCCGGGGCCTCTCTCGCCTACCCGCCGCCGCCGCGTCTTCCTCCGGCTCCTCCCGCGGGATCCGCCGCCGGGCAACCGCCGCCCTCGCCCGCCGCCTCAGCAAAGCCCCCGACAGGGGCTGCCCCTCCGCCGCCGGTCCCAGAGCCCGCGCCTGCCGGCGGTCAGCACTCCTCAGGCGCCGCGGGCAGCCCGGGTGAGGACCCCTCGAGGGCGCAGGCGTGGGTGGGAGCGGCGGCACTTCCGGCGGGCGCCCCCTGGCGGCCGGAAGCGCCCTGGTGCAGCGGGTGTTGCTCCGTCTCGCCGATCGCTCGGAGCCTCCGGCCGGCCGCAGGGATGCCGAAGAGGAAGGCGGCTCGGCCGCTGCGGGCGCTCTGCCTGGAGAACGTGGCCGCCAACATGCAGGTGCTCTGGGCCAAAGACTACGCCGAGCGCTCCCTGGACGAGCAGCGCTTCCGATACCTGCTGGGGCCCTTCAACGACCTGGGTGAGGCGTGAGAGAGGGGCTGGGGGGGAGCGGGAGGGGCGAGAGAGGGGCTGGGGGGAGGGGCTTGGGGGGGCTGAGGGGCGACGAGAGAGGGGCTGGAGGGGGGAAAGGCTCAGGGAGGGAGGGGGCTGGGGGGAGAGGGGCTGGGGAGGAAGAAGGGCTGGGGGGAGGGCTTGGGGAGGGAGGGGCTGGGAGAGAGGAGCTCGGGGGGAGCGGGAGGGGCGAGAGAGGGGCTGGGGGGAGAGGGGGGAGGGGGAAAGGCTCAGGGAGGGAGGGGGACTGGGGAAAGGGCTTGGGGAGGGGGGGGGCTGGGAGAGAGGAGCTCGGGGGGGAGGGGCGAGAGAGGGGCTGGGGGGAGGGGGAAAGGCTCAGGGAGGGAGGGGGGCTTGGGGGGAGGGCTTGGGAAGGGAGAGGAGCTCGGAGAGAGGGGGGGAGGGGGGAGGGGCGAGAGAGGGCCTGGTGGGAGAGGGGGGAGGGGAGGCTGGATGGAAGACAAGCTGGGTGGGCGGCCGCCCTCCCCCCCCTGCCCTGGGCCGCTGGGTGGGGTGGGGGGGGCGGCCTCTGGAGCCCCTCCGCTGGGCTGGGTGGGCGTCGCCTGCCTGGGCAGCCTCCCTCCTGCCTTAGGAATTCCCTGGGCCGGGCGGGAGAGGCAGTTCTCTTGGGCCCCGCCTGGGCTCACCCTCCCCCCCTCTTCCAGCCGGCTGCCTGGTGCAGGAGCTGATCGACTTCCTGGGGATCAAGCGGCGCGTGACTCGACCTGTGCTGCACTTGCTGCTGGTGCCACAGCTGACAGAGCTGGACCTGGGCAGATGCTCGCAGCTGGTCACCAAGGATGTGGCTCAGATGATCTCCAGCCGCTGCAAGGTGGACGGCGGGGCTGCTGGGGGTGGGGGGGCTATGCCGGGGAGCGGGGGAGGCGGACGGGTTCCCTGCATCCTCTGTCTCTGGCCGCACATCCCCCGGTTCTTCAAGCAGCTCCACAGCCATCGGCCGGGCCTCCCTCCTTGGCTGCCCTGTTGGATAAGCAAAGGTCTTTGCTGCGTCCTGCCTCCTTTCTAGTTCTGGTACCTCTTGGACCGAATAAGTAAATTGGGTAAAATGGCAGAAATTGTATATTTTAGCCGAGCGGCTTCTGTTAAAACATTCAGCTTGCTTCTATCTGCAGTAGGAATTCTGAATGCCTAATAATCGTGATAATTGAGCCAATCAAAGCAAAGGATAAAAGGAGGGTTTATTTATTGATGTACATGTTATATAACCCATCACCCACCCTGACCACTGTAGGCACCATAGGGATTAAAATGCAAAATACCAACATGCAACCTCCCGGCATCTAAGGTTATAACCTGATCCGGAAGGGAATGGAGAAGAGGGGAACCCCGAGCCGGCCAACTCTCACCTCGAGATCTAAGCAGGATGAGGCCAGGAGCTCTGAAAACTGCCCTGCCTCTGTCACTCAAGAGACTTCAAGGTTATTTCTCTGAAGGAGAAGCAGTTTTCTGATGTGGCCACATTGTGGTTGCGATCTGATTCCCTTGTGGCCAGATAGGATCCCAAGGCTGCTGTGCCATTAGAAGTTCTGATCTGCCTTAGCTTAGTTCAGCCAGTGGCCACTGAAAGCACAGGCAAAAAAGGCCTCAAGACAAGGATTCATTGAAGGCAAAATACAAAATAGACCTATGATTTATTTAAGGCAGATGTGGGGAACTATGGCTCCTTTAGGACTTGGGAATTCTGGGATCTTTAATTTTAAAATTGTTTTAAATTTAAAATCTGTTAACAGCACCAAAATTAAAATCAAGAAACAGGAACAGCAGTAACATGAAGAATTAAATGTCCAAGGAGAATTAAAATGTCTGCCTGAAGTTGAAAAAACCGGGGAGGTCAAGCAGGGTTGTCCCACACGATGAGCCCAGCTGTGCGCTGAGAGCCGTGTTTCCTTCCTTACACGCCCGCCTTTTCTTTTTCCTCCCTGGGACAGAACCTGTCCCTGCTGTATCTCCAGCGCTGCAGCCGGATCCCCAGCGATGCTTTGGTTGACCTGATAGAAAGTTTGCCTTCTCTCAAGAAGCTGGACCTGTCGGACACCCAGTGCAACACTCAGGTCTTGTCAGCCGTGGGCTCCACCTGCCGACATCTCTGTGGGCTGAACATCTCTGACTGCAAGCGGCTGTCTGCTGATTCCCTTTTCCACTTGGCTTATGATGTCACGGCTGGCTCCTTCTCTTGCCAGGGCCTGCAGGTGCTTTCAGTTGACGGTTTGGAGCCCAGTGGTAAAAGCCGGGATCTGGTCTGGGCCTTGGCCTTTGTTCTGCTGGCCCTTCCCAGTCTCCGGTTCGTAGAGAACGAGTTTGTTTCTGAGGCTCTGCAGGAGATCCTCGGCCAGCAGTTCGCGGCTGCCCAGGTCGACCCCCGGTTTCCCTCCCTGGAGGAACTGGCCCAGCGCAGGATGGCCATGCGCACAGACCAGGCCGGCTCCAGGCTCACGCTGCCTCTCAAGGAGCTCCTGGAGGTGGAGGAAACTTTCCTGCCCACGGTTTGTGCCGTGTGCCCACATTTAACCAAAGCCATCGTCCTTCTGGACGACGGTTCCGCCTTGAGCCCTGCCTTCTACACCTGGCGCACCCTCACCGACCTGACCTTAGACTGCAGCAGGCCCCGGAATCTGGCGGAACTTCTGCCTGTGGTGGCCATCCTCGGCACCCAGATGCAGTCCCTCTCCGTCGATGGCTTCTATGTCAGGGATGAATTGTCTTTTCACATGCTGCTCAATCGCTGCCCAAATCTCCACAAATTCAGTGCCAGCATCTTCTTGTCCTTGAGGGGCGAGGGAATGCCCCCCCCAGAGCAGGAGGCTGTTTTGACCCCCCCTAGGTTCTCCCAACTTGCCGAGTTTACCTTGAGCCTTTGCCATTTGCACACTTCCGCACCTTCCCAGCCTATTCCAAGGTTGAGAGCAAACCTCCTGTCCGTCCTCCAGAACTCCCCCTGCCTGCACAGCTTGGAGCTGTTCTACCTGCCTTTCTGCCTGGATGAGGTGTTTCAGAAAGTGCTGGAGCCCCAGGGCGCTTCCCTGGTGCAGCTCCGTTACCTTTCTCTGCTCCAGTGCCAGGTCTCCAGCAGCACCATCCACCTGCTGCTGGCTGCAGACAACCAGCTGAATTCCCTCCACTTGGACAAATGCCCAGACATCTACCGGGGCGACTATGACGAGCTTCTCCGAAAAGTCAGCCGGGAAGGCCTTGACTTGCACATTGAGTGGCAGTGAAAGCCCCGGAAGTCGGCTTTGTTTATACTGAGGCCAAAGTAGAGGAGCCCCTCTTAATAAAGTTTGTATTCTCTCCACAGTCTGCCTGGCTTCTGTCGACACCTGGGCGCAGAAGGGGGCAGCCTCTGGGGGTGCAACTCGGGAGGCAGTCAGAGGGGAGTTACTATTTTGCATCCTCCCTCCTAGAAATCTGTCCTGGGTTCTCACCTGGGTAGGTAGGTGCACCAAAGGCTCTGCAGGACCGATGCTCAGGAGCCTCCCTCTCCCTGCAGGGAGGAAGCAGTTTTCACATGTTGGCAGAGCTCTCTGCAGGGTGCTGCCAAGTTTCCTTGACTGGGAGCAGACAGCAAATGGGGAGCGTTCCCAATTGCCTCTGATGGGAGCGCAGGTAGATGGGCTGAGGGATCCAGAAAAACTCCGGGGGTGATGGAGACTTTCCTCCCAAGGGTGGCTTAAACTAGAAACGGAGAACCCTAACCTTGATGCCTGATCAATTGGTGAACAGTTACAGTTCCGAAGCTATTAAGCAAAGGACTGGAGAGAAGTCAGGTTACAAGCTCTCTTTGTCATCACTTCCAGGTTGTTGGTTACTTCATAATTACAATTAATTAGGAGTATTTAATAGGACATTTATGTGCCTCCCATCCAGAGGCAACTCTGTAATTGATAAGGCTAACTTGCTGATAGGTTTAATTTCATGTGCGTATTGAAAATTAGAGATGGTGCAATCCAACATTTACAGAAAAGCTGTAGAATCTATAATCCACCTAACTATTTTTACTCTGGCAATATGTGGGGAAACCTTGATTCCAACTGCCCAAAGCCCTTGGGCCGGCCTGTGTTCCTGCCATTCAATGTGGGGGTGGATTCTAGGCACCCAGTGGATTTTTAGCTGAATGATAATTCAGCTTGTTGAATTAACTTTTTTTTTAGTTAAATGTTTTATTTTATTATAGAAAATACAAAGGAGAAGAAAAAATAGGAAATTAAGGGAAGGAGAAGGAAAGAGTGTTGAATTAAATCTTAAATTTAGAATACTTGCTTATTAAAACTTACAAATATTGAGTTTCAGGTTAAATCCCCACCTCCCCTCATTTTTCCGACCAAAGAGAACAAGAACACGGATGACTCGGAGACAGCCTCAATCTTGACAATAGTGTGTTTTGTGAAGGAGCTCAGCCTGTCATGTCACCTGAGATCTTGAGCCATTCCTCAGAATGAGAAAGGAGAGTGAGGGGCACAGGGGAAAGGTAGCTTCCAGCTGAGAAGGGCTGTGCTGTTTCAAATCACAAAACCCTGCCAAGGAACTGCACAGGCACCCCTGTCCTTGCTCTTCCTCAGGAGGGGGGAGCTCCTCTCCAAGACCTGCCAAGCCATCGTCTTGGTCTCTAATAACCCCTGGAGCTTGAAGAGCCTGCTGTTGGAAACATTTCTTTTCAAAGTCCATGGGTCCGGGTGTAAGAGGCCGGGGCAGGGGCAGAGAACTCACCGGGCATAGTTGGCTTCATTTCATTTTGACGTTAATAACCTATTTGCACCACTGGAGCAGCTCTTGTTCTCGCTCTTGGAATTTCACTGCAGTTGCTGGCTAGTTTAGAATTTGCTTCCTGGACCCCCCAAAAGAAGAAATAACATCGGGATAATTATAATTAATGAAGAGTTTATAAACAAAGAGTTAGATTTCTCTGGAACCTCCAGCCATAAGCCAAAGTAATGGAGGACCTGCTCACAAAAAGGTTGCCTTTATGGGGAGAATCCCACAGCTGTCCCATTTCTCTCCCCATCTTTTGAAATGCTCTTCCTGGTCGAGAGGATTTATTCAAAGAAAGTTAACAGATTAACAGAATTGGAAGGGACCTTATAGGTCATCTAGTCCAACCCCCTGCTCAAGCAGGAGACCCTATACCATTTCTGACAAATGGCAGTCCAATCTTTTCTTGAAAGTCTCAAGTGAGGAAGCTCCCACAACTTCGGAAGGCAACTTCTGTTTCATGGGTTGATTGTTCTCACTGTCAGAAAGTTCCTCATTTCTAGGTTGAATATCTCCTTGGTCAGTTTTCATCCATTATTCCTTGTCTGGCCTTCAGGTGCTTTGGAAAACAGCTTGACCCCCTCCTCTCTGTGGCAGCCCCTCAAATATTGTAATTCTGTTGTCATGTCTCCCCTGATCCTTCTCTTCACTAGACCAGCCAGGCCCAGTTCCTGCATATGTTCTAGCCTCCAGTTCCCTAATCATCTTTGTTGCTCTTCTCTGCATTCTTTCTAGAGTCTCAACATCTTTTTTATAGTGGTGTGACCAAAACTGGATGCAGTACTCTAGGTGTGGTCTTACTAGGGCTTTATAGAGTGGTATTAGTACCTCACTTGATCTTAGTTGCTCTGCCAGTGGACTTAGGGTGGACTTCAATTCCCAGATTTCCTTGGCCAGCCTGAGAAGTTCACGTCTGTTAACGGTGTTCAGGTCGAAGAGGGGCAGTGTTTCCGTTTGCCGCTTGTGCTCCGTTTAGGAAAAGCTAGCTGGTTTCAGCAACCTCCCCTCCCGGGCCAATCAAGACAGGCACTTTTCTGGCTGGGTGATGGCTGAGCAGCTTCTTTGGGGCCTGGTTTCAGAAGCTGTTGCAAAGTGATTCCCGTGAATGGGACATACTGCAGGAGCAACCTGCATCCCAAAACACCCCCTCCCCACAAGCTTCCAGACCCTGGGAATACTGTCCCTTGGAGAGAGGGAGCTTTTCCAAGGAAAGTTCAGTCCCTATTTTTTTTTTTAAGATCTGTTTCCATTTTGCTTTGTTACAGCAACCTTTAAAAGTAGCTATTGGAGCCGTGAGGGACATGGAGCTGCATCCATCAAGAGACGCCCCAGGAGCCTCTGCTCTCTGCCCTGTTCTTTGGCTTTGGGTATATAAAGACCACAAAGTCCATGTGTCTCTCATCCTCCCAGTGCTTCATCCACTGCAGTGGGGCAAATGGGAGGCCACCATTGAAAGGACTTTGGGCCACCTTGGAGAGTGAGTGACTCCTGAGTCTTCATGGACGAGTGACCCACTTGGAGGGCCTCTACAGGCAGAGAGTGGCCCTCGGCCTGGTCCTTGCAACACTGAGCTCCTCCCATCCCCAAGCAGGTGGGGCTATTCATGGGGCATGTTGAGGGCATCCAGTTGCCCAGATGGCTGGTTCAAACTAGACTCAGAAATAAAAATGATCTCCACCGGATAATAATTTTCCATGCAGCTCATAGACTCTTACTACAGATTACAGTGCAAAACAAACTTGGTTATTCTATTTCAGTAAGAAAATGCACAATTCACTCTTCCATTGTAATCAGAATATTCATGGTTTAAAGGCCAAAACCCCACAGCAGAACTAGGGCAGCAAAGAAAAAGGATGCTAGGAGAAGCCTGACCTGCTGCAAAGGCATCGCTGGGGAGAGAGAAACGGTGCTGAAGCCGAGAGGAGCCTCGGCTCCAGACAAAAACCATCAGGAGATGAGAGCTTCCGACCAGCTTCCCAAGAAACTTAATCCATCATGCAAACAGCCTGGGAAAAGAGATTCAAAGCAGACCCCGGCCCCACAAACTCGAACAGAGGGCTGGAGGGCCCCCAGCAGTCCTCAAGGTCCTTCATTCACAGCATGAGAAAAAATCCAGGGTGAATTTTGCTTTTCTGGCCATGGTTCTCAGTTAAAGGGCTTGGCAACTTTGCAGGGAAGAATTCTTGGAAGGGGAGTCAGAAGACGCATGTTGCTGAGCGGCAGTTTTTCTACTCCCCTGGCCAGAAAAGAGGGAGAAGCCCCCTAACGTTCCCTTTGCAGAGGGCCCGAGACCACCTGCTGACTTCCGTCTGTCTTGAAGCCTGTGGCCTTCTCTAGCGCATCCCACAGCCTCTGGCCGAGGCCTGGCTCTTGTGCGAGGGCTTGAGGCGGTACCAGTGTGCAGTTGCTGTCAAAATACTTGCCCGAAATCCCCTCCATTTCTGGGGCAACTGCGCAGTAGAGAGTGCTGATGGCTCCCTTTTGGGGGCTCTGGGGAGAGAGCAGAGAAAGCCTCTCAGAGCAAGCTTCGGAGCGGGAGGCATAGAACGAGGCCCAGCAGCCAAAAGCCTGGAGAGCAAGAATCTGATCTTCCAAGGCCCCGTTGAGCAGGGTCTCTGGGTAGCCATCGGGGAGCTCTCGGCTCTGCTGCAAGGAGCTCTGATTCCCACCCCACCCCACCCCCAGCAATTCCCCAAACCTCCCCCAGTCTCTTCCCCCACCTGCCCATTCTTCCCAGCAAGATCTGCTTCTGGAGCTGCTGCTTCAGAGCCTCACTCACCCTCATGAAAGGGCTGCAGAGCCAGTAGAGCAGGCGGCTGACCCGGCCGTAATGGCGCAGGATCTCTGTCCGGACGATTCCTGGGCTGAGCACGTTGGCCGACACGCCTGCAGAGGAGATACCCTTCCTGGGTGAATCCCGGCAAGAGAAGGGTGGTCTGGGAGCCGGGATGGGGAAGCAGCCCCCTCTCATCCAGCCCAGAAAAAGGGAAAGAGCCACCGGGCAGGGCCTCTGGTGGGAGCATCTCTTGGCACCTGATACTAAACTGGCCCCAGCCCCTTCCTGGGGGGACCCCTGCCTGGGACCCTTGACATGCAGACTCTGAGAAGGGGTTCTCACCACTAACAAAGATCACCAGAGCATATCTACGGAAGCCAATGCTGGGCAGAAGCATAAAAGTGAGCTGAAGGTTGTGCGAATGGGGTTCCAACATTAGAGGGTCAGAAATGGCGAGAGGAACAATCAAGAATGCGGAGAGAATTGCCAAGGAAATCTTAAGAAGGAAGAGCAAATGACTCAAGAGAAGGAGAAGCTCAGGGACGGGCAGGCTGGGTGGGCAGGAGGGAGCCTGGAGAAGAGCCAGGAGAACTTAAGGTCTGCGGAGGCAGAGGGAATGGGCTTGATCTAAACTGCACGCAGCTGTAATTTCTGCCCCGACTTTCTTGTTTGTAACTTCTCATTCCATGCCTGTAGCAAAGGAGACCCCCACAGGCGGTCGTGTGCTTACCAGTGCCCTGCAGTCTCCGGGCCAGCTCCATGGTGAAGATGACGTTCATGAGCTTGGTGCAGTCATAGGCCTGGCTGGCATTCTTGAGCCGCTCCTCCCCCGTCAGCCACTTCAGGTTCACCTTCCTGACATAGAAGTGCCGGAAGGAAGACACATTCACGATGCGAGCCGGAGCAGAGGCCATCATGGTACCTGCATGGAGGAGGAGCAGTGAAGGGAACCAAAGCCCTCTGGGAGAGCTCTGCCAGCTGCAGGGAGCCCACCCCTGGCAGGGCAACCAAACAACAGCTAAGACATAAAAGCCAGCCATCAACACACCACAATCAACCTCTAAAAAGCCACTTACAATAGGCACTACAAATGCCACACATTGGCATCTCTCTCTCTCCTGTTTATTTCTCAACATCAAAGGCCAGCAAAGTTGGAGTTTCTCTTCATTCCTGGATCCACCCTCTTGGTACCCATGTTTTAGATAGTTGCCGGCTGCAGCAATGCTGCAGCCCTAAATAATAGCTAACAGTCAGGTCTCCTTTGAGATCCCATCTTTTATTTAGTTATTTGTTTGCTTATCTATTTAAAGCATTTATATCCTGTAGCTGCTTATCTTCAAAACAACCTGTGCAACTTTTACTGTGCAATAAAACAGTACAGAACAGTAAAAGCAACAATAAACCAGTAACAGAAGAAACTGGTACCCCAGCCTCTCTTCTCTAGAGCCCCCCCCCCCCGATCCCCCCCTGTCCCAATGCCTGAGGGAAGAGCCAGCCTGAAGTGCCCCTGGAAGGGCAGAAAGTTGGAGGCTGTCATATCCGAAGAGGGAGGGTGTTGTGTAGGGCAGGAGCTGCAAAGGCTGGCACGAGAGGGGGCCTAGAGCCTGCCTGGTCTCTGCTCTGTAGGGCTTTGAAGATGTGGTGGGAAAGGAGAAAGGAGGTTATTGTTTGTATAGGAATTGTAGCAGGACATACTAATCCTTGAAAAGAGAACACAGCATTTATCTAATCTCATAAATGTGGCTTGAGCTCAAAGCTGCACTTGGACAGAGGGTGAGAGGCCCCTTGGTATGCTCAAAACTGGTTTTAGCTGGAATTTGCTGGCAACTAGAGACAAACCCCAGAAACTAATAGTTATTAGAGATAAATTGTAAATAAGGGGCAGGGGAAAATATATTCATTTTAGGCACCTCGGATAGATTGTGACGGCCTGAGTACTCAGCCAATGAGGAAAAGGTGGGAGTCAAACTTGTGACAGTGATAGGGAATATAAAGAAAGACTATTGAGGGTTTAAGGTGTGTCCACTGTACCTGCATGTACGTGAAAGTAGCAAATAAAATTACCATTGTTTTATAAGTTTTGGCTTGCTATCATTTTAAACTAGACAATGAATCCCACAAAGATAAAAGCGGCACCTCGAATTGCACCTGGAAGAAAACTGGAAGCCAGCACAGCTTCCACAAGAGGGGCGTCATAAGGGTGAAGCCAGGGGCAGCCAGCGCTCAGCGTGTTGCTAGCTCCAGACCGGTTTTAACTCCTGGGTGATCTTCAAGGATGGCTCACGTGGAGGGCAGCCTCAGGACACAAGGATTCGCTGTGACCTTCTGTGGGGCCGCATTTCCTGCTGCCCAGCCCGTCCTAATTTCCGGTGATGTGTCCAAGTGTGGCCAGGCCTGGCGCTTTTTCTAGGACTGCCCAGGGAGGTCAAGGCTACTGCCTGCCTGTGCAGAGTGGACAGTGGGGGTCTTTTTTGTTTCCTTTCCTAATTATCCTCAACATTGGCCTTCTGTCCCTCTGGTTCCAAGGGAATCAACTTCTCTTTGGCTTGCCCACCCATTGCTTAGCTCCTGCTCAGAAATGAGCTATGGGGCATCTTGTGCCAGTGTACATTTCCTTCACTTCTTTTTTTTTTTAATTGTTTTTATTTTGCATTTTCCTGTATAACGCTTCCATTTCTGCAACGGCAGTGTACTGTCTGTATCAAATCTCTTTTAAATACATAGTTTTATACACACCATAATTATAACCATTTTTCTCACAATACATACAGTGTAATCTTCCCTTCTAATCACCCTATACAATTTAATCTATAATAAGTATAATCTAGTGATAATATTGCTTATGGTATTTATTGCTTATATATATTTACTTTTATTTTATTGATCATCCTTAATTATAAATTACTAACTTCTGCTTCTATTTTCTAACCATTTATAAAATAGGTCCCAAATTAAATAGTACTCTGTTTCCTCTTTATCCTTAATTTTCATCGTTAACCTGTCCATTTCGGCACAGTCTAATATTTTCTTTCTTACATTTTCATCTATAGATATATGTTCATTTTTCCAATTTTGTGCATACATAATTCTCGTCGCCTTTATCACATGTAATATTAAATATGTAATTCTTTTATTATATTTTCCTGGTAATATACCTAGCAAGAACAATTCTGGTATTAAATCTGTTTGTTGCGTTGTCATTTCTTCTAACCACCTTTTTTTCTTTAACCATTTCCTTCACTTCTATGCAACTTCCCGACCTCTCCCGACTGACTGCCCAGACCCCTCCAGGAAGTGGCACCATCGTAATTGGAGACCCTTTGGAGATTCCTTCTTTAGAAGGGCTCCTCAACTCTAGCACTGATAGAGGAGCTGCTGGATTTAGAGGGTTTCAGGGGACGGGGGAAGCCGCGGAATCAATGACCTTCAGGTTGCATGCAGGAGAAGCTGGTCCTTACCAAGCAGCAGGTTGGTGAGGAGGAAGGCACCCGAGACATTGGTGGCAAATGTGAGCTCCAAGCCCTCAGTCGTGATGGCAAATGGCAGGCCTAGACAGGAGAGAAGAGGGAGGGCAGCTTAAGAGGGGGCAGACTTCAGGATAGGGTCTCTGGGCTCCGCCTGTCTTCGGCAAGGATCTTTCTCAGCCTTGGGCCCTTGGGATGGAACTGAAGCTTCCTGGTCTCTTGCCTGCTCGCTTCTGACCCAGGCAAGCAGAGGGCATAGCTGCCCAGTGTCTATTACCTGTGACACCCGCGTTGTTCACCAGGATGTGCAGCTGGCTCCCTTCCTCCAGAAACCTCCTGGCAAAGTCACGGACAGAGGCCATGGAGCTGATGTCCAGCAGACGGAGCTGCACCTGGGGGTTTCCTGTGGCTCTACGGATCTCCTCCACCGCAGCCTGGCCTTTCTCCCTGCAGCGGCAGGCCAGGATTGTGTGTGCGTTCTTGCGTGCCAGGTCAAGAGCGATGGCCTTGCCAATTCCTGCAAAGGATGGGCATCAAGAGCAGCTGCCGCAGGACCCCAGGGTGGCACCTCCCAACCCCCACCCACCCATGGGCCATTGATCCTGAGGTGGCCAGAAAGATCTCGTGGTGGGAGGGGAGGTGAAAGGGGATCATGGGTCCTTGGGGGCTGAAGGACTCCCCCCCCCCAGCAGTGGCCAGTGGGCACCAGAGTCTGAGCCCTGAAGGGGGGCATCCAGGGTGCTCAGTTGAATGCCCTCCATGAGAACCCTGCATTGGCTGGGGCTGACCTCCCCAGGGCTCCCTGCTCTTCAGCAGGCAGAGGCTGCCACATTGGCTGTCCTTATCTCCCCTTGGCCAGGGAGACTGCAGAGATGGCCGGGTGGACTTCCCATCTTCCTCCAAGAGAGAGAGAAAGACCATCAGCTGCTCATAACAGGCCAATGGCTGATGACCAGGGACAGAGCTGGCATCGGTGGGTGGCCTTCTGCCAAAGGAAAACCCTTCTCTGAGGGAGAGAAACAGGCTGGTACCGCCCTCCCCAAAGCCTGGAGACTTCCATAACTTATAATCAAATTATAACTGATAGTGCCCTAAAATGGGAGCCTTATTAAATAGCAGAGAGCAATCATGTATATATAGTTAATTGTAGTTGTGGGATCAAGAAATGAACCTTGTCTCAATCCCCTTTTTATTCGTCCTTGGGGTGCAATTCCTGGCACAACACCATTAAGGGTGGCAGTGGTCTGAAAGGAAGGGGCCATTCCCCGAGGGAGGAAAAGGTGACTTTCCTGCCACAAGGTTCTCCCCCCACGTGCCCTTTGCCTTTTAGTGGGCAGCAGGAAGACAAGGCCTAGCCCCTCCCTCCCCCGGTTTAGTTCTAAACAGACAGAAGAGGGAGGGAATGTGTGGTGGTCAAACAAGGTAATGCCAAGGTCCCCGCTCTCCCTCTGCCCATTTCCCTGCTCAAGCCCACCTCAGGGACAGAGAGAGGCACCGGGGAGGTCAGTCCCAGCTCCCAATGGCTTGGCATGCACTTGTTCTCCTTAGCCCCGGCGGCTTCTTGGGCAGCCATCCCAGCTGCCTTTTCCTCTCTACCGTCCCACAAGATGAGGGCCCCCTCCTGCCCTCAGACAAACATGGAACAATTGGGGAGGGGGAAGCACATCGGCAGCAGCCATTCTTTAGCAGACTGGCCGATTGAACAGGCCAGCCTCTTAAACTGCGCTCACACACCAACGTTAAGACTGTTGACCCCAGGAATTTGGGGGCTGCCGGCCCTTCTTCCCTTGGACAGTGGTCCTGGCAGGAAGCAAAGGAGCCTCTTTCCTTCCAGACCCAGCAGCCGCTTGCAGGCAACGTGTCTAGAAACATCACACCAGTCGATTCCTTTTCTGGGTTTCTTTATGAATACTAACCAGATTTGGAGGCTTCATGCCTCACACTGCATCACCAAGCAAAAGGCCAGAAAGCCAAACTAACCAGGTGTCAGGTTTCGATGTAAATGCAGGTTGAAGTGCTGACACCAGGATTATGGAAATGCATCCACTAAGATTTGAGTTGATGTGGCTAAGAGGTAAGACTCACCGCTGCTGGCTCCAGTGACAATGGCCGTCTTGCCACTCAGGTCTACGGGACAAGCCTCCGGCCTCCAGCTCTTTCTTCTTCGTACCCACAGCAGCGCCAGGAGGGTCAAGGAGCAGATGAACCAGAGCGGGTGGGAGAAGAGAGCGGTCCCCTCCATCACAAGCAGCCTTTCTGGAGCAGCTCTGGAAGATGACTGCCGACTCAGAGGTCCACTCTAAGGAAAGACCTCTTGCGTTCAGAAAGAGGAAGTCTCCCAAAGGGGCAGCCAGTGTTCTCTGGGCAGAGTCCGCTTTCAGCAAACGGTTTGCCCATTTCTTGGACAGAAGCCATGCAGCAGAACTTTGGGAAGGCCAACAGGACAAGGCAGTAGAAGCCAGCGGAGGGGGAGGAGGAGGCCTCCCAAGGAATAGAATAGAATAGAATAGAATTTTTTTATTGGCCAAGTGTGATTGGACACACAAGGAATTTGTCTTGGTGCATAGGCTCTCAGTGTACATAAAAGAAAAGATACGTTCATCAAGAATCAGGACGTAAGGTGCGTTGAGCATTTATCCGTTTTGCCAGGGGGAGGGGGAGACCAGCTCCTTGGAGAAAGGCGAGTGAGGGCAGAGAAGCCCAGGCTGCCTCAAAGTCCCAGAGAGACTTGGGTCAAATCAAGGCTGGGCAACCTCCATCCCGTGTCCCCACCCCCCAGGTTATGTTATGTTGTGGTCCTACAACATCACTAATGCTCCTGCTATATCAAATGCATTTATTGAGTGTAAAAAAAAATGCTGGGTCAATTTCAGACTTTTAAAAAGCAGCTCCTGGTGAAAACTGTGGGTCACCTTACAGGAGGAATCAATCAAGGGTGAAATGCTCCCGGATCGGACCGGATCACCCGGTCTGGTAGTGATCTTGGCCAGTGGTTCGGCGATCTGGTAGTAATGGCGGAGCAAAGCTCCGCCCACCTGCCTGGGTGTCATTACTTCCTGCTTTTAACCAGGAAGTAATGTGTTTTTTACCTTCTGCGCATGTGGAGAAGGTCTGTGCGCGCATGTGACGTGTGCAGCACGTGCGCTTCCAAACCGCTTCCGAAGGTAAGTAGATTTCACCCCTGGAATCAATATGGAAAAGAGTGCACACATGTTTATTTTTGTTAAATTTTCTGATTTTTGAATTTTATAAGCTCTATAAAATAAGATTGCAAATTAATAACAATATCAAAAACAAATAGACAACAACTTTGCAGGAAGCCTTCTGGGTCACTGTGGCTCTCAGAAACCTTAAGCAACTGAGACACTGGCTGCCCTTGATGTCAGCCCTGGAGGCCATCTTTTTCTTTGGCTCTTCAGGGCTGCCACACTTAGTACTGTGGAAAACTGGGAGGGGGGATTGCATGGAGTTGTAGAGATATATACCCATAACAACATTCTTTTCTCTGGGAGCCAAGGACATTTTGCCTGCACCTGGAGTAGCGTGGGAGCCATCTCCTGTTGGGACAGTGGAGTGATTGGACCATGTGATGGACATGTGGATGCAGGGGAAGGGACTTCAACTTTCCTTTGGGTGGGGAAAACCTGGAAGCTTTCAAATTTGTGTTTTCCCAGATGTGTCAATATGGCATCTCTAATAAAATGGAACTTTGAGGAACTTCTAGCCTCGGAGTCTTCTTTCGTTGGGGGTGTTACTGGGAACCCCAACACTTGAAGGATTTCACAATTCAACTGGTGGATTGGGAAAGTGAGGAATTCCTTATTCCTTTGAGGAGGGGATCAATCTACAGCAGGGGCGTCAAACTCAAGGCCCGGGGGCTGGATGTGGTCCGTGGGGTGCTTAGATCTCGCCCTGGGTGCCTCTGCTAGCGGAACCCCCCCCCCCCCCCCGCCTCCTGTTTTTGGCCTGGACAGCCTCCTGTAGCACTCTGCCGGCCAAAACGGGCCACGGGGGCTTCCAGAGGCCTCCCCGGGCCTGTTACAGGCCGAAATGGAGCCTCCATGAGCTGGATCCGGCCCTCCCCACCTCACCCCACCCCACTCCCGTGGCTTTACTGTCCTTACTTTTGGAAGAGCTCCAGAAGAGGCTGAGCCAAGTGGCAGAGAAGCCATAGCATTTTAACTGAACCTGTAAGGTGGTGAGATGTAAGGAAAACAGCTTTCCACATCTGACTGAATAAGACAACTTCGGCTTCTCTGCTATGACGGCCTGCAGGCTTAGTTTGGGCCTAATCTGGCCAGCCCAGTTCCAATGAGCAGTTTCAGGGATTGGGATTTAGCAGCCAATCAACAAGCGGCTTGCAGTTCAGCCTGATGAGGCAAAGGAAGCAACCTCCTCGTTGATTGGCTGCTGCTGCTGCCTCAATCCCTGAAGCAGGAGGCTGCTGTGGCCCAGTCCCGGCCTAGGCCTGCTGGCCACATGGCCCCAGCCGAAGTCTTTTACTTAGAAGCTGGTGAAAATGTTTTCCTTAGATCTTACAGTTTCACCATAATCTGAATAAAAAATGAGAAGATAATTACCGATGAAGAAATTATTATGAAAATGTTGGACTGTGCTGAAATGAGTAGATTGACATTTGAAATAAGAGAACAGGAAGATAAACAATACTATTTGATATGGGAGATATTTTATCAATGGTTTGATAAAAAAGTATGGAGATGAGATAGCATATATGAAATGTTTATATATATAGCAATAGCCTTCATCCTTTTGTATATTTATACAAAGTCAGCTTATTGCCCCCACAAACTGGGTCCTCATTTCACCTACCTTAGAAAGGATGGAAGGCTGAGTCAACCTTGAGCCTTGGCGAGATTCGAACCCTGCAGTAATTGCAAGCAGCTGGTCTTAATAAGCTTAATAACAGGGTGCCTTAAACCTCTGTACTACCAAGGCTCTAAAAATATGTATTTTTAGCTTAAGTAAAGAATAATTATTATATGAGGAGATTTGGAGAATTGTAAGCATGAAATGATTTTAACCGATTGAGATGCTGTCTATAATTGTTTGTAAGGATGATATTTTTATGTTATTGTTGTGTGTTTTTTTTGTTTTTTTTATCTTATTTTTAATCTAAAATAAAACCTTTTTCAAAAAAAAAAACCAAAAAAAACTTTTTATTCACGCCCACCATGGCCACACACCCCGGCCTTCCAAGGTCAAATACAACCCTGATGTGGCCCTCAATGAAATTGAGTTTGAACAACCCTGATTTAGAGGAAGAAGCCCACTTGCCCCAGACATAAAGTCCTAGGTCTTTTGGCTAGAAACTCTTTGTTAACAGTGCAACTGATTGTTTCAGCAGATACTGGAACAGGGGCTGTTAGCCATAAAACAGGGGAGCTGAAAAATATCCTTGGTAACCTAAGATAGTCAAAACAAATTCCAAGGCCAAGCTATGGGAAAGAGAAAATAAAGGAAATTACTGTACAGGCAATGACTTGCAGCTGTGAGGGAGGGGAGCTGGCCAAGGCAGAGAACACAGCTGGAGAATTTGTGGCAATTCCTATGTTTTACAACCGGATTACTTATTTATTTAGTAAACAAACCTACGTGGCAAACAGAATAAAAACACAAAGCAACCAACAATGAGACTTAAGAGGACATGCTTCAGGCTAGCCGTGGGGTGCCCCTTTTTTCAACCTTTGAGGTGCCAAATCTATCATCAAGACTCTGTGGCTCCAAATTCCTAGGAATTAGAGATAAGCATCCTGGGTTCTCCCATTTTACCTTTGATAATGAATAGAATGGGATACTTCTGAAGAGCTTATGAGCCAAGTGTGGGTCTTTTAAGTTTATTTCATATGGTGTAGCAAAATGCAGCATGGAGCATAAAATTCACAGAGGGTCTTCAAAGATGAATATATTGTTCTTCAATAGCTAGAAAGCCATAGTGCAGCATTGAAGGAGGAGGGAGCCGAGCTGCCAAGTTTCCTCTTCAAGGACAGGAGGTAAAAACCTCCCAAGAGAAGAAGGTCAAGGCAGAGCAACAGAGCCAGACCTGGGGGGGGGAGGGAAGGGAGGCAGGATATGAGGCCCTCCCAAGGAAAGCAAATGGGGAGGGGTGGGGCTGGGGAGATGTGAAATGTGTCTTACCTGCCTTATAGCTCTGTCGCGTGTCTCACCGTTGTCTGCAGGCAAACACGTTGTAGGGTAAAAAAAACCTTGTGAGTTAAATCAGACTTCTTGAATTTGTGAGAAGTTTGGTTTTACCCTACAACGTGTTTGCCTGCAGACAACGGTGAGACATGCAACAGAGCTGCAAGGCAGGTAAGACGCATGTCTTGTGTCTCCCCGGCCCCACCCCTCCCCACCTGCCACCCCCAAATTGCATCCAATTTGGGCAGGGGCAGGAAGCCCTACCATGCCCGGCAAGAGGGGGAGAAGAAACTGCAAGAGGAGCCCCATCATGCTCCACGCATCTCGCTTCTCCCCCGCCCTACCTGCCATCCCCCTCGACAAAGAGACAGTGGGAAAGGGCAAAAGCCAGGCTGCTGTTACGGTACCATTGGGGTGCGTGGAGCCATCTTACCTGCCTTGCAGCTTCGTCGCGTGTCTCGCCGTTGTCTGCAGGCAAACACATAGGGTAAAAAAAACCTCACGAGTGTCAGGGTTCCAAGGAACACTCCTAACGAAATAAAGCTCTGAGGCCTGAGGTTCCTCAAAGTTCCAATTTATTAGAGATGTCACATTGACACATCTGGGAAAACCCGAATCTGAAAGCTTCCCGGTTTTCCACACCCAGCTGACAGTTCACAACCCTGCCCCACACCCACAAGTTCGTCACATTGTCCAATCAACTCTTCACACTCAACTGGATACAATCTTCAGGCAGTCTCCACCAGATGCAGGCAAAAGTCCTTGAATACGGAATGTTGTTATGACTAACTTTCTATCGCTCCAACAACCCCCTCCCAACTTCCCCAGCTAAAATATGTGGCAGTTAAGAAGCAAAAAAGAAAATTGTCTTCCAAAACTGACAGCAAGTTCAATCAAACTTCTTGAACTCGCGAGGTTTGATTTTACCCTACGTGTTTGCCTGCAGACAACAGCGAGACACGCAACAGAGCTGCAAGGCAGGTAAGATACGCGTCTCGCGTCTCCCTGGCCCCTGGCGAGGGGGGGGAGAAGAGACAGCAAGAGAAGCGAGCCCCATCTTGCTCCATGCATCTTGCTTCTCCCCCTGCCCCATATGCCACCCCCCTCGATAAAGAGCCGGGTGCTGTGGAAAAGGGAGCTGGGTGGGCGCAGGCTTTGGGCATTTGGGGCTGCCGGGGGTCGCCCAGCAGAGAGGTAGGAGCGGGGCAGGAGTTTGCAGGTGAGGGGGATGGATGGATGGCAGGCGGGCAAGTGCCAAGAACCCTGGGGAGATTCCCACTTTTGGTTGCCCCAGCGAACAGCTGACGAGCATGTGTCTGACTCAGCAGAAGCCATGAGGTGGCCATGCTCACTGTCTCCTGCACCTCAAAAATAATAAGACCTCCCCCCCACGGATAAGACCAAGCCCTTATTTCGGGGTTCAAAAAAATATGACAGGGTCTTATTTTCGGGGAAACACAGTATAAGCTAGGTGGCATTGATCTAGCAGATGACCCTCACTTTGATAAGGACCTAGGTGTATTTATCTCTGATGATTTATGCTGACTCTAACAGTGTTGCTAAAAAAGCATTATAGAGTTGTAAACTTAATTTTGTGAAACTTTTTTTCTGGAAACATTGTATTGCTAATTAGAGCTTATAAAACCTATGCTAGACCAATTTTAGAGTATTGTTCAACAGTTCGGAATCCCCAATATATATCTGACATCAGTACAATCGAGCGGGTTCAGAAGTACTTCACGAGAAAAGTCTTGCACTCTTCTGTACACAATAGAATTCCTTATGGTACTAGGCTCGAAATTCTCCGTTTGGATAACTTAGAACTGCGTCACTTGTGGTCAGACCTAGGTATTGCATACAAAATTATACAGTAATGTTTTACCTGTAAATGACTTTTTCTATTTTAATCACAATAAGCGCACAAACAACCGTTTTAAACTCAGTGTAAATCGCTCTAAACTTGACTGTAAAAATATGATTTCTGTAATAGAGTTGTCGAAGTCTGGAATGCCCTACCTGATTCAGTTCTCAGAGCTACAAATTTTCAGTTTCAGTCACAAATTGATAAATTGAAGTCACAAATTACTTCATACTGAAGTGGTCAGTAGAGGGCAGTGGTGGGTTCCTCCCGGTTCGGTCCGGTTCTGCCGAGCCGGTAGCGGTGACGATATGACATCACCGAACCGGTTCTCCCCCCTCCGCCCTCCCACCCACCCACGTTATTCTTACCTTTTATTTGGTCCCACCCCCAATCTATTGCTGCCTCCTGAGTCCCAGCTGATGACTAGAGGAAAAAAAACAGTTTAAACTCTTTCCGTGGGGCTTCAAAGGGCCGTCCTACAGCTGTTCAGTGTTAAAAGCAAACAAATGAGTCAGGTCGTAAGTGCGAGGACTGGTCGTAAGTGCAAGGACCTTCCAGAAATGACTCTGACCAGCTAGCCACGCCCACCTAGTCACATGACCTCCAAGCCACACCCACAAAATAAGCCACACCCACAGAACCGGTAGTAAAAAATTTTAGAACCCACCCGTGGTAGAGGGGGCGTGCATAAGGGCACTAACATGCCTATCGTCCCAGTCATTGTATTTTTATTCTCTTATTCTTCAGGTTTTTGTTTGACAAATTCCAATAAATCAATCAATCAATCCAAAGGGATTCTTTCTGAGTTGAAGTGCCGAAAGGGGGGACTGCAGGGTCTGCCCCGAAGCACTTCATCCTTAAAGAGATTGGATCTGAGACAGGCTGGAAGAGGCACCATGTGCTTGGCTGCTTCAACAGGGATGGAATCACATGAAGTGTTAATACCACTTTATAAGGCCTTGATAAGGCCACATTTGGAATCCTGCATCCAGTTTTGGTCGCCACGATGTAAAAAAGATGTTGAGACTCTGGAAAGAGTGTAGAGAAGAGCAACAAAGATGATCAGGGGGCTGGAGGCTAAAACATATAAGAAAGTTGAAGGAATTGGATGAATGAATGTCATTTTACAACATCTACTTGAAAAGTAAAGCTGAGTTAGCGCTATATGTTGCCTTTACTGATTTCAGAGTTGCATTTGATTTTATTTCTAGATCTAGGATGTGTGGAACTTGGAAAAAAACACTGTATATACACACTGGTTCTACTAATGTGCAAACATTATGAAAATTCTGCATTAGAAGTTTAACGCAATATGCAGGAAAATCACAGCTAAGAAATCCCTATCAGCAGTGGGGTTAGGCATCCCTTCCTCTTTTGTTATTGAACCCGTATACTGACTATCTTGGGTGAAATTACCTTACACAGGCATCCTCTAGTAAAACCACCTGTGAGATACCACAGCACAGGGGTGTTGAAATACTCTTATCACAACCACCAACTCATTTAAAACAAACTTTGTGTGGTCTGTTTGTTATGAGGAGGTGCTTGTTTGGCTAATTTAGAATTTGCAGCTCAGACACTGAAGCAGGGGGACATTACAGGAGGTGCTGGGACGACACCTCCTATAATTATTAAAATGCTCCCAATTAGTTACTAACAGCACCAGGGTCCTTCCCCAATTGGCCACAGTGAGCCCAAATAGCAGGGACAGAACTCCACTCTCAAAGGGGTTATTTTCTCGATGGCTCTCTGACCCTCCACACCCAGAGTGGCTGAGGTTGCATAAGGAGGAGGCTGAAGGGTCTGGCAGGTATTGGGCACCTGCCGCAACAAAAGAGGAGAACAACTGTCCAGTTGGTGTTAAGGCAGAAAGTTTGTTATCTCACAACTTGCAAGTGTAAATAGGGAGAGCTGGCTTCACTAAGAGCTTCTCTTTTAGGTGTTAATTCAAAATGTAGTTCAATCGCAGGACACAGTAAAGATAAGCTATTCTAAAATCTTGGTATTTTTGGTATATTTGGGGAGACTGTTTTATTCCTCTGGGAAGTGTGGGGGATTTCTTGGGATTACACTCTTTTGTTCAAAACGCCACACAATCTTTTTATTGTTCTGGAGGACATTATTTATACCCAAAAAGTATTTTCAGCAAAGGTTTGTGCATAGCTTTTACTTGGTGCCAGGTAAGCCCATCTCGCTACTTTGAGAGGGAGGGAAGGAGAGAGAGAGCGCACCACTGAGAACTACCCAAGGAACACAGGGAGCTGCTGGAAACCTCCACCCGGCTCTACAAGCTAATCTGAGGAAGCCAGGCAGGGGCTGCTTGGTTTGGGTGATCTCATATCATGGCTCTTCTGGGGTGGCCCTTTGCAGGACTCTGCTGAACAGGTCGGCCACTAGCAGCCTCTGCCCAACACCCCCACCCCCTTAAAGCCTAGAGCCACGAGAGCCAGAAAATGCTCTAGGATGGCCCGAATCTGATACAAGGCCATCCCCACCCACCAAAGCTCCCTGGACAACTTTGCCCAGAAATCTCTGTGCAATTTCCTTTTTCCCTCTTGCCCCCCTAGGCTTCAGTGTTATTTTGACTATCTTTCCAATAAAAATGACCGCGCCCTTCTCTGCCTCTCTCACCCTCCTCAGTAAGAGGGGAGAAGCACCCTTCCATGGCCCCATCAGGCGATTATGCAGTCCAGTCAACCCTGAAGGACCTTTCGAAGGGCAGCAAGCACCTCCCGGGGGGGGGGGGGGGGGGGGGGGGGGTTGAATCGTCTCCCCAAATCGCTTCCTTTCATTATCAGCCAGAGTCAGGGCTTCGTAGAAAAGCCACAGGTGTGAGTGTGTCACATCCATTTTATTTCAGGACAGTGTGAGGCTGGGATGTGTTCAGTGAACACCCTGATCCTCATCCCAGCACAGCTTTGGGGCACAAATGTGGCAGAAGTCGTGGCTCCTGAAAGAAGGGCCCTTTGGCCCTGCTGGGAAAGGGCCCACCTGCCTCCTTGGCATCTTCTGCAGGCCGCAAGCATGCGCCACTACCGCCACGGTGGAGGCTCACTCCCGGGGCGAGGTCAACCGTCTCCACCAACAAGGTGGGCTTGACCAACACAAAGCGGGTGGGCTCGAGGGTCTTTCCTGCTGGAAGAGGAGAACAGGCCACCTGCTCCAGGTGGGCCTTCTGCCTTGCCTTCATGGGGTCCTCCGGCTCTACCTGAGCCTGGAGGATGCTTTGATCTACGGGGGCCCGCTTGACAGGGCCACTCGGGGGACGGTGCTGCTTGCAGCGGCCCGAGACCATCTTCAGGGTTTCCTGGCGCCTCGACTCAACATCAGGATCCACCACTTCCATGGTGGGCTTTATCCACCGCTTAGGCAAGCGGGCTGGCTCCAGGTGAGGCACCAGTGTGACGTTGCCCATCTCGTCGTAGAAAACATCCTTGATGTTGGGAGGGCGGCCCATCTGGATGCGGAGGAGGTTGCTGCACGAGGAAGGCAGTAGGGGCTGCCTGCTGCCCAGCAGGGAGCTCACCTCCAGGGGGCCCTGGGGCAACTTCCGCCAAAGCAGCTCCTTCTTGGAGACGTTCTTTGCACTGCCATCCAATCTGGCCGAGTGCTGGGCTACCAGGAGCGGCTGGCAGGACGGCCTGCTTTTGAAGGAGCGCCCGGGAAAGGCAGCCACGGGCCCTTGGGCAGCCCGGCCCTTGGGCAGCCCCCTCCTCGTCTGGGGCTTGGGAGGCTTGACTTCCAGCAGGGAGGGGGGCTGGGGTACTTCCTCTCCCCACTGGAGGGGCATCTCAGCCTGAGTGGTTTCCTCCCCTGGCAGCTCCTCGAGGGCAGACGCTTCCTCCTCCGGCACTTTGCCTGCAGGAACCTGGAGGAAAGGGAGAAGCAGGGCAGTGCGGTGGGTTCAAGGCTGCTTTAGCGTCAGAAGGGGAGACGCGGCCTTTCTATCAAGGAAGCAGCTTTCAGCTGAGGTTGCCTCCCGCCTCGACTTCCAGCGCTTCCTAACTTAGGGCTCTGGGTTGAGAGCTTTGGCTCAGCAGCGCCCGGGGCTCCCGGTTCCCTTCGCCGCCGCCTTGGCAAGACCGGGGAAGCCGCCCGACCCGAAGCCTCCCAGCCTGGCCAGGCCGAGCCTCCGTCGGAGCGCCCTCCGCTCGGCTCCCTTCGGCCCGGCTCTAGCCTACCTCCCACTCCGGGCTGGGCACGGTCTGCAGCACCGGCACGGAGCCCTGGGCCCAGGAGTCGGGGACGGCGGCGGACGGCTCCTCGTCCTCCTGCCAGGCCGGGTCCGCAGCCACGTCGCTCTCGCCCGCGTCCCGCACCAGGAAGCGCCACTCCACGATCTGCAGCATCGCCTCCCGCGCCTGGGCGATCACGTAGGGCACGCACTGCGGGCGGGGGGGAGGGGCGGGGGGTCAGCGTCGGGGGCGGGGCTCGGGAAGCGCAGAGGGACGCGGGGGGCGCCTCTTCCCCCCCCCCCGCGGGGGGGGCGGGGGCGGGGGGGGGGGGAGGGGGAATGGGCCGACCTGCCGGGCCAGGTAGACCTTGTAGCACTCGCCCAGCACCAGCTCCAGCAGCGCCGCCAGCACGTCGCCCGCCACGTCCTCCGCCTCCTCGAAGGCCAGCAGCGACAGCCACTCGCCCTCCGACAGCCGGCCCGGCACGATCTCCACCTGCGGCACCGGCACCGTGGGCGGCCGGGACCGCTCCGCGCGGGACTTGGCCTGGGCCACGCGGTCGCGGGACGCCATCCCGGAGCCTCGCCGCCCCCCGGACGCCCCGCCCCTCCCCGCGACGCCGTCGCCGGGCAACCGCCCCTCCCGCGCGCGTCCCCGGCAACGGCCGCCCCGCCCCGCCCCGCCCCTCCGCGCCTGCGCGTCGTCCGGGCCGGCGGCGGCGATGATGTACCGGCGAGAGCGGGGCCTGGCGCTGCGCGGGAGCAGCCTGGCGCTCTACAACAACCTGGCCGTCCTGCCGCTGCCCGCCAAGCGGCTCACCTACTTCGCCAGCGTGCACGGCGCCTCGGTCGGGCTGCTCAGCGTCGCGGCGGACGGGCCGGGCTGCGCGCACCGCCAGCTGCAGGCCCGCGAGGGCGGCCTCGGGCCCCCCATCGTCACGCAGGTCGGCAGGGGGCCGGGGGGGGCCGGGGGGCCGGGAGAGGGGGGCCCCCGCTAGAAACGCTGCCCTCTTGCAGGCGGCCTGGTGCGCGCTGCCCTCGCGGACGCTGCTGGTGCTGGCCTCGTGGAAGGGCATCCAGGTGAGCCCCGGGGGGAGGGGGGGGGGGGGGCGAGGGAGGGGGGAGACCTGCGCCCAACCGGCCCCTCCGCCTCTCCCGGCAGATGTACGAGCCCGACGGCTCCGCCATGGTCTATTGGCACGCGCTGGACGGCATGGAGGCCTCGGCAGGTACCCTCCCCGGGGTCGGGGGGCGCCGGCCCCGCCCAAGCACGGAGCCCCCGGGACACCCCCCGCTGGTCGTGCACGCCCCAGAAGCGGCGCCCGGGTGCGGCCCCTCGGAATCCCTGGGGTGCTGCTCCCCGGGGGCCTCCCTGGGCCCTGCAGCTGTCCGAAGGAAGCTTCGGTGGGAGCAGAGGGGGCTGGGGGGGCGCTTTCTCCCTGCCCGCTCATCTCCGCCTTCTGCCCCCCAGGGATGCTGCTGTTTGCCCGGGGGATTGCAGGGACAGGACTGCACTTTGTGTGTGTAGGTGAGCAAGGCAGGGACCGGAGGGGCCCCTGGACGTGGCTGGGAGGGGGGGGGCACAGCCTAGTTGTGCAAGGGCCAGAAAAGGAGGGTTCAGGCTGCAGCCGTCTGGCGAGGCTGGTTGGGGTCCACGGCTGATGCCAGCCCCCGAGGAACTCCTTGAAAGTGGCACGTGGGGGGCATGTGGCCAGGAGGATCCCTCATTGCGCAGGGTGAGCCTGCTGGTGCCTCTGTAGAGACGGGGAGGGGCAGCCTGATCCCCATCCCCCTTGTAGGGACATCCACCGGTTCAGTCCTCGTCTTTGACGTCCCCGCCAAAGGCACCAACATCACGCTGAGCGAAGTCCTTGAGCAGCACAACAGCCCCATCACTGACATTGGCGCAGAGCTCTGTGAGCAGCCGGTAAGGCCAGGCTGAGCCCATAGACTCACTCTGGGCTGCCTCCTCTGAGCCTGGGGGGGGGGTAGCAGCACTCAGCCCTTTAGCCCCCCCCCCTCGTGTGGCTGTCTGGTCCACCAGGCAGCTGTTCAGGCCAGCTTTCAAGAGACCGCATGCCCAGGGCCTGCAACGGCAGTCCTGTCTTTCCCCTGCTGCAGGAGGGAGCTGCGGATCTGGTGACGGCGGACGACTCTGGAGCGTTGTGCGTTTGGGGCTCTGGAGAGACCTTCAGGCTGATCACCAAAATCCCGGCTTCTGAGTACGGACCGGGGGGGAGGGGCAAGGGGTGGGCAGGTGGAAGTTCTGCGCGGCAACAAGGCCAGGTTGCTATGTGGCGCTCAGGGTGGCTGCTCGGAACGGGGTGGAAGGCGAACCCCCCTCTCCTCGCAGGGAAACCGGCCATGCTCTGGGCTGCAAAGGTGAGGCAGCGACATCCCCCACACACCCCCTCGCTGCGGGTTTTGCTCAGTCCGCTGAAGGTTGTGGGACATTGCCCTCCGTCTGCCTCTGAGCTCCAGCAGGGCCTGATCCCTCCCCTTCACGCCCCAGCTGCACCTGCTCCTCCGTGAAGCTGTGGAATGGGGTCATTGCAGCCGGCTATGGGAATGGGCAGATTCGCCTGTATGAAGCGGCGCATGGGACCCTGAGAGCCCAAGTCAGTGCTCACGCCCGCTGGATCTACGCCCTGGACCTGGCCCCGCTCTCAGGGAAGGTGAGCCCGTCGCCATGGGGGAGGGGCAAGCCAGAGTTTGGCACTGGTCAGCTTCCCTTGGTCTTGACCCCAACCTTCAAGGCATGACTGTGCCTCAGCTGCTGCACGCTCACACCTGGGCTCTTTGGCACAGGTGGCAGGCAGGCTCTGCAGAGCTGGTGGAGGTGCTTCACCCCATGGGCAAATGCTTATGTGCAGGTCAGCACAATCACAGCCTGCCTGGGTGCACTTGGCCCAGCTAGGACCCCTTCTGGCAGCTTTGACACTCCCGGAAGGGTCGCCTCCTGTGGGAAGGGTCTCCAATCCAGGGCTGCAAAGCCAGAATCTCCCCCTCCTCCGTTGAGACCTTGTCTGTGTCTTTCTTCTGCCCAGCTGCTGTCCGCCGCTGAGGACTCCTTTGTGCGGGTCTGGGGACTGAGCCACAGTGCGGACACAGAGAGCCTGGAGGTGAGTGAGCCCAAGGGCCATTCGGTTGAGGGGGTGGAAAATGCCCGTCTTTCAGAGGGTGTTTCTGCATTCCTAGGCAGCTCCTCTTGCTTCACTCTCCAGGAAAAGCTTGGTGGTCCCCTTACCAAGCTGGAACGGCCCCACCTTGCCCCAGGCCTGGCTGGGACCAAGAATGCTGGCTGAAGGTCTCTGGGCCTGGGGGTCACCCCGGGGAGACCTGGCAGTGATTCTGCATGGGAGCCTCGGGACAGATTCCCTCCGGTCAGGCCAGGCGGGGCTGCCCGGGGGAGGGGGGCTGGGGGGGGGGGGGGGGCAGGAATGTCTGAAAGGGACCCACCTGTTTCCCTCAGATCGAGCATTGCCATACAGAGTGTGTGACCGATACCCAGATTTGTGGTGCCCGCTTCTGTAACCCAGAGGGCACTGCCTTCGCCATCACGGGCTTCGAGCTGAACGAGATCATCCTGTACCACCAGGTGTAGCCCTTCGGGTGGAAAGCAGTTGTGATGAAGCCAGCTTGGCCAGAAGGCACATGAAGGGAGCTCCTGCCTCACCCCTCACCCCCACATCTGAAAATGCCGCCCCCAAAAGCTCTTCATTCTTTTGGGCCAAGCAGGCTTTCCCTGGGGTTCCTGGCACATCCGGTGCCAAGGCATCTCCTTTGGCCCAATAGCTCAGGGTGCCCCCTCTGCCAGGGAGAATCCCACCCGCAATGGAGTTTGAAGCAGGGAGGCCCATCCGGTCCTTCCTCGGCTGAGAGGAGAGCCAGCTGGCGCCTTGTTTCCACCGGTTCATCTCTGCAGGCCGACTGTCTCGCACCTCCAGGGCTGAGGGGCAGCTCGGCCGGGTTCTGCAGCAGAGTCCTTCCTTGGGGAAATGCCAGTGCAGTCCCAGAACAACCTGGGGTGGCTTTGCGGATCTTGGCCAGAAGGTCCTCCTGCCCTGCCTGGGTTTGTTTAGGCTCCACATAGCTCGGTTGCTTTTTTAGCGTTTCAGAGCAAGCAGCCAAATTGCCTCTTTTCCTGATGAATAAATCTAGTTATGTTTGGCTGACAAGATAGAACGTCTGGTGCTGTTGCCTTTTTTTAAAAGCGATTTCCTGCATGCGGCGGGAGTGCCTGCGGAGCTGATCACCTCCTGATCCTTCTAGGTTGCCAGTTAGGAACCCTAACCCAAACCCACCATCCTGCCCCCAGTTGTGGGGTGTGGCCCACGGAGAGCAGCAGAAACACAGGGTGGCTCGTTTGCCCCGAGGCCTCTAAATTATGGAACCAAGCAGCACTGTCACCACCCCCCCCCCATGTCCTCCACAGGCCAGGGAGGTGCCCCCACCCCCGTCCCAGGAGAGGTATTGGCAGACTCCGGGATGCACAATACAAAAGGCTCTTTATTAAAGATTCCAAACAGCCCAACAGCAAAATGTATAAGAAATGGGGGCTAGCCCAGCTCACAGTGGTTATGCAGATGCACGCAGGCCACGAGGGGCCTAGGGGCATCAAAGCCCTTCGGTCCGGGGTGGGAAGGTCACATTGGCCCACCCCCCAAGTCACTTTGTGCTTGGCTTACATGTTGCGAAAAAAATGGTAGAAAAAAGTGAAAAAGGTTTAAAAACTGCAGCTCTGCAGGCTCTCCCCCCCCCTTTGCTAAAATTATTGGCAGCAATTTCCCTTAATGCACCAGGCAGGAGGGGCAAGAAGGAAGAGCAGATGCTCCCACCCCAAGGAAAGGCCAATTCTGGGCAGAGGCTGCCTGGTGCTCGAGGCGCAGCCTCAAAGCCTCTCTGCATTGCCCCCTTCTCACGGACAAGGAAGAGGGAGCCCTTTCTACAGCTAGTGCCCACCCCAACTAAGGGGCTCTAGCTCCTCTGCTCATGCACCCCCCCGCCTCCCAAAATCCTCCCACCAATCCCCTTCCACAGCACGTAGACACACCACAAACCCCCCTCTTTTTCCTCCATCACCTGTACGTCCACCCCCCCCCCCGCCCCCCGAATACTGCCAAGGTCAGAGGTAGCAACCGATGCTGGGCCCCTGCCCACCCCCCAGGTAAAGGCATGGCAGCCGCGGCAAGAGGCACAGAGCTGTGGGTGGAGAGGCAGCTAGTAGACAAGGCAGAGGCGCCTCTCCCCAGCAAAGGCACCAGCAGTAGGGCGGCCCCCTCCCTCCCCCCGGTGGGTGGGACCCTGCTCAGGAGACATGGCTGGGCTGGTGGGGGCGCCAGAAGCACCACTTGCTGCGCGGATGCTGCTTGCGGAGGGCCTCCTCCTCCTCCTGTGCCCGCTCCTTCTGCATGCGCAGGTAGCGGTCCTCCTCCTTCAGGTACCAGATGGGGGGCCAGCGGTGGCTCTCGAAGTGGGCCCTGTTCTCTGGGGAGAAGCCAGGCCCGGCAGGCGTCAGCTGCTGCTGCTGCTGCTGCTGCTGCTCAAGGGGAGGGCCTGAAATGCAAACCCTGAGGACGGGAGCCGGGCCGCCCTTAAGGCAGCCCCCCACCCCGCCCCAGTTCCTCCCTGGCGTGCAGACCGGGATGGATCTGGGCCGAGGGAGTCAGAAAGCAGGTGGAAGCAAGGAGGCACCCAAGAGAGCGGGTGGCAACAGGTCCCCGGAGCTGCTCCCTCCCTTTGACTGCAGGCTTACCGGGAGACAGGGCCTTCATCTCACGGGGGAACCGGCGGCAAACACTGTTGTAGTTGGTGCAGATGTAGTGAAGGCACCAGGCGGCCAGCTGGAGAGCATTATGGAACTGCAGGGAGGAGCATGGTCAGGCCGCCCAAGCCCTGATGCCACCTCCCTGCCTGGGGAAATTCATAGCCCCAAAAGTCACTGGACCAGGGGGTGGGGGTGGGGATCTGGCCTACTTTTGACTTGTGGCAAAGGCATTGGGCTAGACACTGGGCGATGGTGAGTTCTAGTCCCACCTTAGGCACGAAAGCCGGGTTGGGGGACTTTGGGCCAGTCACTCACTCCCTCAGCTCAACCCACCTCACAGGATTATTGTGAGAAAAAGAGGAAGAGGAAGGACTCTTAACTTGTTCGCCCCTTGAACTTTTAATACAAATAATAAAGGTGGGATTAAAAAATCTAAAACTTAAACATCTAAACTTGCAGGAAGCCTCTCCTCCACTCAGGTTTCCTGCCAGGGCTAAGGCAGCAGCCGGTCTGGTGAGGTTGCACCATACCTGTGTCATTTCCAGGTAGAGGATCACCTGGGCATCGATTTCCACCTGCTGAAGGCTGGCACGCACCAGCTCATCCACTGCATACTGCTCTGGGAAGGAGAGGAAGAGATGCCATTCAGGGCGGAGCGGTCTTTCTTGCAACCCCGTGGATCACCCGCTTCCCTGCCCGTGGTTGGCAGCTGCAGTGCCACCCTTGGTGCCCGGAAGGCTTGTGGCCTCCCAGAGGGGAGCCCCACAGCGACTCACCGGTCAGGGCCTGCAGGCGGGTCAGGCAGAGGCGGTTGGTGAGCACCAGCAACTCCATGGCGTCCAGGTCTGGGCTGGGCACAAAGAGCTCCGTGTACAGGAACTCCAGCACAGCCCGAAGGCAGGCACAGTTGGTGCCTGGCAGGGAGACCTGGGGATGGCAGAGTGGGAGCTCAGGGAGGGTTCTGCCCACCCTTCGCCTCCAGGAGCTGCTCCTCGCAATGCGGGAGGAATTCCTCTTGAAGCACAAAACTGCAGGCTCCATGGTCCCCAGCAAGTGTGGGGGAGGGAGGCAGTGCTGAAGAGGAAGTTGGCAGATCGGGGGAGGAGGTTGGCCTTGTCCCCTGACCCTTTTTCCAGAGGTCCCACAGTGTTTGGGGGGAGGAATGGTGAGGCTGGCTGTCTGTCCCAGAAACCAGGGGCGGTACCAGGGCCCTTCCTGCTCCTCTGCCGGACACTGGGCCTGGCCAACAGGGTCAGCTGTCAAGCCGAGAACCAAGCTAGGAAGCCTCACAGGCAGGCAAGCTCTGGCCAGTCATCTTTTTCAATTATCCCCAAGAAAGAGGGAGGGGAAGGCCCTGTGGTCTCATGCCACCTTGGAGCCCCCTTATCCCTACCGCATGACAGGGGTCTCTAGGGGCCAAGCTGGGGCTTCCATGCACCCAGGCAGGGAAGACACTCCTCGCACCTAGGAGAGACCGTTGACACCCCCCCCCAGGAGCCCCCCAACGGCACATGCACAGCAGCTGAGGCTGCCCCCCAACCGTAGCAGGGGGAGTCCTTCCTCCCTTATAAGGTGGCAGCAGGGCTACCCGCCTCACCTCAGCAGCACAGCTCTCCCGGAAGGTGCCCCCAAACATGGCCACCATGAAGTCACAGCCTGCGAGCAGAAGGGGCTTGTGCGCTGGCACCGAGCCATCATCAACCAGGAACACCACATCTGCAGGGGAGGGGGGGACACAGACGGGAGATCAGTCCTGGGGAGGGGGCTACCTATGAGAGCTGCTCTCCAGCCTCCCTGCTCCTCTCTGCTACCTGCGAAGGAGCCTTTGCTCAGGCACTCCTTGATCCGGTTGGCCCGGCGCACATGGAAGGCCTTGGTGATCTCGCAGTTCATGAAGCTCTCCTTGTTGAGGACGTTGGCCACCATCATGCGCAAGTCGAAGACCTCCAGCAGCTCAGCCATGGCAGCCACCTGCATGAGGCTGGCCTGGGACTGATCCAGGCACCCAGTGTACAGGTACTCCAGCACCACCTTGAAAGGGCCCTCCTGCACTGGTTCATCCAGGTACACGGCTGTCATCGGCTTCTCCTGCTGCGTGACGGGATCCCGCACCATCTCCCGCTGCACATCAACAATGCCCCGGCCCCAGCCAGAGACCGGACGAGGCATCCGAGCGGTGCACAGTGGCTCGTCACTCTGAGAGGGCCGCAGTGGCACAGCCCGCGTGGCTGTGGCCAGGCATCCCTGATCTGCTGCATCCAAGCTCTTTGTCCGCCCGGCGGGCTCCTTCCCACCAGCCGGCTCATCCCCCAAGTCCAGCATGAAGAGGTCGTAGAATCGGGAGCAGGCTGTGGCCAGGTAGACTCTGTGTGCAAAGAGCTGGTGGCCTCCTGGTAAGCGGAAGACCACATCGGCACAAAGGGGCTCGTGGAAGAGAGCGCCGGGTCCCCGGCCTTCCCCAGCAGCTGGCTCAGGGATGTGGATGATAGGCGGGAGAGGCTTGGGTGGCAGGAAGGGGGCCTGCAACAGTGGCCGCTGTGTCTTCTTCAGGTGAGATTTCCAGAACTGGAGATGGCGGCGGGAGATGAGGGCAGCCCGAATTGCATTGTCGAAGACGTCCTTGATGCCAAATTGGGCCACGACACTCGTCTCATAGTATGGGATGCCCAGTTCCTTGGCTACCTCATGCCCGCACTCAGGGGGCAGGATGTCTGAAGGTTTAATGGGTCTGAAATAAAGCAGGAGTGTATGCCAATTAGCAAGGAATGGCCGGGAAGGCTCCTGTAAGGGCAGACTAACCCAACTGTGGCAGAGAGTGGAGGCCCCCCCTAGGAACAGGCAGGAACCAATCTAGGATGGGGGGCTGACCACACCTGCCAGCCCCCCCAGAATGAGTGGCCTCAGACGGCGGGACGGGGCCCTACTTGGCCAAGGGACGGCGCGCCCGGTTCACTGCCTCAAGGTCTGCATAGCGCAGGTCCAGCTGGCAGCCCACCAGCACGATGGGGGTACGCGGGCAGAAGTGCTTGATTTCTGGGTACCACATGGTCTTCACATGCCGCAGCGAGTTGGGGTTGGCCAAGGAGAAGCAGAGCACCACCACATCGGATCTGTCAAGAAAAAGATGGGGAGTGGGGGAGACGGCATCAGGCGGATGACATCCTCCCCCAGTGTCAGAGGTGGCACTGAGTCTACCAGCCCTTGAGGGAGAGAGGCAGGGGCCGCAAAGAAGGGCAGGCCAAGGCCAAGATGGAGGGCTGGCTCTACTCCTCCCCAGCCCCACCAGTGCCCCAGACTCTTCTTCTTTCCTGAGCCCCACCTGTGCAGCCCCCTCCCACTCAGGGGCTGCATAGGCCACTTGTGACCGCCCCCCTCCCCAACACTGGAGAATGGAGGGATTCCTGCAGCTAAGTCCCTCCCGCACATCCTTCCCTGGGGAGGCCAGGAGCAACAGAGACCCCCCCACACCGTCCCCCAGAAGGGACGGGAAACCACCTAGACTGCTGCAGCCAGCAGGCTCTCTCCAGGCAGGCCAGAGGACTGGGGTGCTGAAGGGCCTGGGCAGTCCCTCCGGACAGCTGCCTTGCTGCCTCCCAGCAACCGCCCCGCGCCGGACGGGGCCATCGGGAAGCGGACCTTTTCGGCGGGAGGGGCGCCCGGGGCTGCGAAGGAGGACCCTCACCTGCCGTAGGCGAACCGCCGATCCTTGTGGTGGTCCCCGAAGGTGTCCCAGAGGCGCAGGGAGATGCTGACCTCGTCCACCACGTCGCGGGAGCGCTCCAGCACCTGGGGAGGGCCGAGGCGTCAGGCGGCGGGGCGGGGAAGCCCCCCGCCCGCCCTCCCTCCGCCCTCCCTCCGCCGGCCGGGGCTCACCTCCTGGCACACGCGGTACTGGTCGATGGCCCAGACGGTGGGCACGTGCGTGGCCAGCAGCTGGTACTGGGTGAGCGTGGCGTTGCAGGCCCGCGCGCAGATGAGCCGCGTCTTGCCCACCGCGTTGTCGCCCACCACCACGCACTTGATGGTCTCGACGTTGGGGCGCTCGTAGTCCAGGTCAATATCCATGGGGGCGCCGCCGTCGCTGAGGGGGAAGGCCGGGCTCAGGCCGGGGAGGGCGCGGCCGGGACGCTCCCCCGCCGCTACTGGCCGGGCCCGCCCTTTACGGGGCCCGGGGAGGCGGCCGAGACCCTTCCCCGCCCCGGGGGGCGCCGGCATCCCGGCCGCCGCATCCCATCGCCTCCCCGAGCCTCTCGGCCGGCCGCCGCCGCCGCGCCCCCCGCGCCCGGTGCCCCGCCGCCGCGCCCATCGCCGCCTCCCGCCCGGCTGCCCCGCGGCGCCGCCCCGCCAATCGGCGCCCGGCCGCGCCCCCTCCGTCCGAACAAAGGAGGCGGCGGGGGGCGCAGCGCCACGGGCCCCGCCCCCGAACCGCCCCCCACGTGACGGGCCCCCGCGGGCGGGGCGGGGCGGGGCTGGGAGGGGCCGCGCAAACAGCCCGGCCGGAGGGTACCTTGTTCGGGGCCGGAGCGCTTTGCAGGCGCGCCGCGGGAGAAGGGCGGGTGCGTCGGCCGGAGGGCGCTCTGCACATGGTCTTGGGCACGCCGCTCGTCCGCAGCTCTTCCCCGCCAAAGCCCGGCCGGCAGAGAGCGCCCAGGCGGCCCCTCGGCCTCATGCCACTCGAGCGCCGCTACAACGGAGGGGAGAGCGCCGCCTTCAGGGCCCCGCCGAGCGGCTCAACCCCCGCGCGGTCCCCGCGGAGCCGCTGCGCCCCCAGTGCGACCGTCCGCCCCGCGCCCCTTCACCTTCGCTGCGGCCCCGTCCGGCCCCGGCCACCGGGCTCTCCGCCCCGCTGGCTCCGACGCGGCCCCTCGGCTTCCACTTAGCGGCGCTCCTGGTCTCTCGGGGCGGAGGCAGCGCTGCGACCGACCCCTCCGGGCGGGCCTTCCGACGGGCGGGGCGCAGGGCCGGCGGGCGGGGCGCGGACACGGGGCTTTTCACCGTCGGGAAGCCGGGAGGAACGGCGCGATTTTGGCGTCTCCTGCTCTGGCCCGGAGAGGAGGCGCAACCGCGGAACCCGCCGAGCAGTTCCGCTTCCTTCCCCGGGGCCGCTTGCTGAGCTCTGCGGCTCTGGGTCAGAGCCCGGCCGTGGATTTGAGCGCTCTTGGAGCGGGAGCGGGGCAGGGGGGGGACTCGGCCTTGGAGCCCGTGGGCGCCCGGCGCCTCCGCGATTTTGACTGGGGGCGGTCGGGGTCCCCCCAGAGCCCTGCACAGTTGGCTAGCCGGTGGGGAGATCGGACTGCTGGGCTCGGTGGAGGCAGCATTGGGGGTTCTTGGAGGGCGTCCCCCAACACGAGTTTCCCCAGGGTTTCTGACAAGCCACCAAAACCTGAAAAGCAGCGAGCCGAGGGGCGGGGGTTTTGAGACGGCCGAGGTGCACAGGAGGGCTTCTTGAATTAAGAGCAAGGGATTGCTGGGAATCCCCCTCCACAAAGGTCCCGTGTGGCTTTTCAACCTCCAAGCCAAAACAGCCAGGCACCCAAACCGAGCCCAGCAGGAGCGGCCTGGAGGTTGGGAGGAGGGGTCCCCAGGGCCTCCCCAGATCCAGGCTTTCCAGTCCTTCCGCTGCTCCCCAGTTCTGCCAGCCTTCTGGAGGCCTCTCTGGCAACCTCACGCAGGGCCCTTCCCTGCGGCCGAGAGGCAGCTCCAAGCCAAGGCCCCTGGCTGGCCAGGGAGGTCCCAGGGAGCAGCTGCGGCTGAGGAGCCACCCCCCCCCCACTCCCACCTGTCTTACCTTCTGGCTTGCTTTGGTTCCATGTAGACCCCCAGCCAGCCCAGCTGGATTACTGTCCACTAGTTTTGGTTTTCCTCTGTTTGCTTTGAAAACCACTTGCTTTTCCCCCAGCCCAGAGTGCGTGGGGCATCTCTTCTTTGTTCAGGGTGGGCATTTCTGGCCCACCTGGGAGCGTTTGATGCCCTTCCGTCCTTCGGAAGGCTTTAAGAACTGGGTTCTTGCCTTGGCATTGGAAAGTTAATGGGGCCCACCTGGAGGTCGGTGTGGTTGATTTAGATTCTGCAGGGTGGCCTTTCCCTTTGATCTTTTTTCTTGTCTCCTCCTCCTTCATATGTGGTGCTACGGTGTTGCCCCAGCGTTGATCGCAAGATGGGCAAGCAGCTAAAGGTCTGTGGTCAAGAGAAGCCCTGTGGCCCAAAGGGAGGGAGTGACCCCTCCTTGGCCATCGAGGACACCTTCTCGTCATGGCAGCCCCCCTTGTTCTCTGGGAAGGGTCGGGTGAGAGTTTGGGGTGGGATATTTTGAGGCTCTACGTCTACCTGCCACTTTCCTTGCCTAGCAGCCCGACAGGATCTCCAGCTGGCAGATCTCAACAGATGCGAAGAGGACAAAGAAGTTCTGCCACCCTCCTTGCCACCAGGCTGGGCTGTGTCCAGTCAGAACTGCTTTGAGTTTTTCTCCAGTGGCGCCCGGGGTCTCTGCGGGGCCGTCCTCCTCTCCTGGAGCCCATCAGTAAGCCTAGATGCACCCCGGATCGGCAGCCGAGAGGCCACATAGGAGTCCCAAGACCCCAGCCCTTCCACCTATTCCAGCAAGCCCCCCTGGCTCCCTCTGGAACCCCACTGGGTCCCTCACGTGCTCAGGGGGGCCCATCGGAGAGGCCTGTCTCCCTGGGGAGGGGTGAGCCAAGGGGGAAGCAGAGAGTGCTCTGTCCAAGGCAACAGGATGAGGTTAATGGCCTCCACTGCCTGTAGCAATTGCTTCATTTCTCTTGCCTGCACTGGGCCTTTAGAATACAGAATAAGAATTGGAAGGGACTATAGAGGTCTTCTAGTCCTGCTCGAGCAGGAGACCCTGGACCATTCCAGACAAGTGGATGTCCAGTCTCTTCTTAAAAACCTCCAGTGATGGAGCACCCACAACTTCTGGTGGCAAGTTGTTCCACTGGTTAATTGTCCTCTCTGTTAAGAAATTTCTCCTTAGTTCTAGCTTCTCCCCTTGATTAGTTTTCCCCCGTTGTTTCTTGTCGTGCCTTCTGGTGGTTCCTGCAACCGTTCTTCATATGTTTTAGCCTCCAGCCCCCCAATCATCTTAGCTGTTCTTCTCTGCACTCTTTCCGGGCTCTTCGCTCTCTACAGAGATGAGATGTATAAAGCAACTCGTCCTAAGCCAGATCGCCACCTGTGTTTGGCCGCAAGGCAGTCGGGCCCAGACAAGGGCCTTTCCCTCATCATAACTTTGCCATCGTCCCCGGTCTGTGGGTGAAGCTGCCTCAGATTGCCAGGAGTTTGTGGTTCCCCTTACTCTCCCCCACTGCAGCCACGTTTCTTCTGGGACCTGCTGCCCTTCTTCAGGTTTTGCTTCATTTGTTCCTTACACCTTGGTGTTTTCTGCAGGAAAGAGCTGGCATTGATGCTCTTCTACTGCATTCTGAAACGGGCAGCCCTGTTGTCTTGACCAGAGGAGGAGGGAAGTTGGGTTGCTTTTGCCTCTGGATTTCCCTGGATCTGTGGCTTTCGGTGCCCACTCTGGTCAGAGATGGGACTGCCTGGTCGGTTTCAGTTTGCAGAGCTCAGCCGGTTGCGTGGCCAGGGCAAGTTCTTCGGTGCTTCTCTCTCCCCTAATTTTAACTTGGGTGATGCCAAGCCAAGTGGGCATCCCACCCAGGGGAGGGAGGAGGAGGAGGAGGGGCAGCAAGTCCAGCCTAGAGGTGGCCAAGCAGCGTCTTGACACCTGACCCTCTACTATGGGGTCTGGATGGTTGGAGGGGACACATGGTGGTCAGTGAAGCCAGAGGACCTCCCCAAGGCTTCCCTAGGGTGACTGGCATACTCAGGTTGGCAGAGACCTGGAGCAGCATCAGGCAGAGAAGCTGGCAGTGGGGGGAGCCTGATTTTGTGCTGACAAGGGCAGATGAAGAGCGGGGGGGGGGGGCTTCAGGTGGAGAAGGCCTGGCTAACGGGCTGCCAACGGGGAGGGCGATCCAGCCAGCCATGTGAGGCAGGGAGGGACAAGGCCTGCCCTCTGTCCATGGGGTCAACTGGGGTGCAGTTCCTAGGCCTTCCTCCACTTGCCCTCATTTGGCCCCCCACCCCCGCCCTGCAGCCCTCTGAAATCAACAGCTGCTCTCCTGCTTAGGCTAGCAGTTTTTTTGCTATGAATCCAGCCTGGCACTCTTCATGGCTCCTTTGGGATCCAAATTTGGTTGGCCTGCCCCTGTTCTGCAGCGGCTCTGCCCAAGTAATGCCCGGCTGGTGATTTTCATCCTTTTCTTCAGTGGGCTTCTTATAAGTACAAGTTTAGGGCGCTTCTGAAAAAGAACAAGATCTGCATGGCTGGTGGAAGATGGATTTCAGCTGGGGAAGCAAATCCAGTTCTGCCAGCTGAGTCAGCACTGGGGGCATTGCAGGTTTCCCTCTGCTTCTGCTGAATGGGGTTTTTGCATGGCCTTGCTTTTTAATATTTTTTCATTATTTCTCTGAACATATTTATTAAATCTATGACTAGTAGAAGAGCACTAGATGTGAACTCCAGCAGAAGGCTAAAATTATTAAGATCAGTTATAATACTAAAAACTTGCAAGGCAGATTGTTTTAGCCCACCCCCCTTCCTCTTCCACTTCCTCCAGGAGGCCTCTGAGCTTAGTGGGGGAAGGGTGGGGAGTCTGCCTTCCCCTGCATTCCCAGCTGCCTTTGGGCACCAAAGGAGGCTGAACTCCATGGGCGCCCTCCTAACATCCGTTTGGCCACCATGGATGGATGCTGAGGAACATCTTCCACAGAAATGGCTTTGAGCCATCAAGAACGTCATGACTGACCCTGAAACGGGCTGCCTGCCCACCGGACTCTCTGACCGTATACGAACCCAGAACTATTTTACCTTTGGAGATAAAATGTTGCTGCAACTCAGTGGCACAGCCTCTTCGATGGCTCCTAAGTACATCAACATCTTCATGGTCAGGCTAGAACAAAAACTTCTTAACTCTTACTCCCTGGAGCTGCTCCTTCATTGATGACATTTTCATTAGCCATGGAAGCCTGGGAAATGAATTTCTTTCCAAATTCCATTACGACGTCAACAGATTCCACCACCCTCATCAACTTCAATCTGGACCTGTGTTTCTCAACATTGGCAACTTCAAGACATGTGGAACCTGGCTGGAGAATTCTGGGAGTTGAAGGCCGCATGCCTTGAAGTTGCCCAAGGCTGAGAAACACAGGTCTAGACCTCCCTAAGAACAAATCCACTTCCTTGATATCACTGTAAATCTATTTCTGATGGACACATCAACCCCATGTTGTGTAGAAAACCCCAGAGGTTACCCTGCATTCCACATTCCTGCTGGAGCACACCACCACCAAGCCCAGCTCTGGGCATCAACAGCATTTGTTCTGACGAGATGCACATCTGATGGAATTAAACCAGGCAGACTGACTGTCCACCGAAATGATCGATAGATGAATCAATAGAACCGGGTCGATTCCCAGGATGGACATATTAAAAGACGGACCATAGTAGCAACAACAGAACATCATCCACAGCTCGCAACTCGAATGCCTTATTAATGACTCGTGGATAATGAGACTGCACTTTCTCTGGCCTTGGGTGAGAAGCCCTCCCCATTGCATTCAGGCAGCCACCCAACATGCGGGGGCTTTTCCTAAGCATCAGGGAACAGGAAGAGAGGCTAACGGAGACAGACTCCACAACAAACCCAGGTGTCAACTTGGACTCCACATCTATGCCAACAGCACCATCACAGGCTACACAAATGGCACAAACTCTGCAAAAGAATTAATAGACGCAAGTTTGGCATCAGGACTCGAGGACAAAAGGATATCAGAGCTTTTGGTCTTCCCTGGCCAACCTCAGA